GCAAGTGCCGTCTTAGTTACTCTCCACAAGCTTTTTCCACTGCTCTAAGGATGACCCGATGTTTATTCGAGTTAGATTTCCCGCTTGGTCACGTTTCCTCTTCATCTCTGCCCCTTCTTCTCCGGGTTGGCGCTGGGCAAGTGTCTTTTTGCGTCCTTCTCCATCACAGCTCCTGTCACTAAGCTGCTACGCTACTTTTAGTTGCTCAGAGCTTTGAGGAGGGCCGGGAGAGTGGGAGGGGACGGGTCGGAACTACTGGAGAGGGGTGTGTCGAATAAAGAGAGGTGATTGGATGGAGAGGCGGAGCAGGAGATTGACCAATAGGAGCTGTCCGGGATGGATGGCTCCCATTGGTCAATGATTTTGCAACCCTACACCTGCTAGGGAGAACTGATTTTTTCCATTCTTTTTTCTCCTCACTTTGTAGAGATCGCACTATAGGACCATGATCGCCATATAAACGAGGTTCATAATAATTACCAATCTCTCCAATCGTCAGCCATGCCTTTAATGTAGTTTTCTGGTTCTTTTTCTATCCTTGCTTACAATGAATTATAGTCCAAAGCTATAATGTTGGCCATAATGCAAAATAAACAGACTAAACAGATTACACATTTTAAGTGTGATTGAAGCAGACAAAGGATTTCAGGATTTGTCAGCCCCTCAAATTGATAATTGTATGTCAAAATGAGCAACAATCAAGGTCAAGATCTGTCTGTTCGATGTGTCACTTCATGTAAGTGAATGTTGTGAGCATAAACGAACAATATGAAGCAGTCAAAGAGGAACGAAAGGATTGATGCAGAGATGGAACTTGGAGAAAGAGGAGAAGTTGATCGAGCTCTGTTAAGGACAACTACAACAGACTGAAAAGAGACCAAGAAATAGCACCTTTGAAATGTGTTGTTAGAGCTAGTTCAGGCAGGCTACATAGCGAAGCTCACAGTAAACCAGCTGATCTCAATGCCAGCCCATATGAGCTGATAGTTCTGTGTTACATGTGTTGCAACTAATGCCTATACTCTATTCTTGACTGTTGCTCTTGCCTTGTCTTTTCATTAATGCACTTATAATGGAGGGGAGATGTGCTCTCCCCATCTCAGGCTTGGCATCACAGAAATGGACGTGGAACAGAGCCACACCATTAAATATACCTTATTTCATGAAAATAGAGACCTCTTTTAACTGAAGTTGTCCTGACTGAACTGCAGTTGGCATTTCCGACAGTAGTCCTCAATCCAACATAATCACATCAGTCACGATGACTGGTAGAGAACCGACCGGTAGTCTGGCATGTAAGCACTGAAAAGGTTCTAACAGTGAGAAACATATCATGGCATGACTACTCCTGTGAAATAATACAGTCTAATTGCTAGAGACTCTTCATATTTCTCCTCCAGTTTTCCTCCTGTGCACATTAAGTCTAATTCATTTTTAATAGCTCTTTAAACCCTTCTTTTAATTAGTCTCAACTCGTTTAAATACTTTAACTGTACAATTGTTAATGGTAAGCGCAAGGTGATAGCGTGGAGGAATGACAATGAGAGATGGTGATTTAAAATGATATTCTTATGCTGATAAAAGACACTCTACCCACATGTATGTTATGTTAATTTACTTTGTCTTGTATTAAATGAATTGCACTCTTATTCTGAATAACTAAGACACATTTCAATGCAGGAACAATCTGTTTTCTCGTCTTCACCCTCCCCCACAAAAATAACAATCAGCTTCCAGATCAATTAGCATTCAGTATCATATCTTTCACAGTATGTACTAAGCCTGAGCTGTGTATTATTGAAGGGATAATTGTTGCCTTGCGGTGTTTTGAAGTCGCTCGCTGACTGACTGACACTGATACATACACATACATGAACAGTAATTACTAACAAGCACATAAAGACACATAAAGAGTGAGTGACACTGATAATTAACACACATGCAACACATGCTCCCTTCTTTCTTGTGCTTTTCAGAGGGGCCCGTGTACACCCCAGTCAGAATAATCCGTCTCCATCATGTCAACACCGCGTTCTGTCTCTGAGATTGTCACACTCACTAATTACTCTTTAAGATAATCAGCCTGTGTGGCTGGAGATGCAGCTCCCCTCCGTGGCTCCGTCTTCTCAGGGAATGAGAGGTTTAATCTGTGGCAAGATCAGAGCTACCGGGAGCAGGAGGAGGAGGGATAGGAGGCGGATGGAGGGAGGCGGGTGGAAATGAGAAGGAATTTGGGCATCTTAACAAACTCTTAATTACGTTCTCTATCCTCTGCTGGTGGCAGGCGTAAATGGCGGTCCCCAGGGAGCCTCTGATCCACTTTCTGATCTGCAGAATTCACAGCCGAGCTGCTGATCAAAAAGATGGAGCGGCCTAGATGCTTCAAACACATGGGACCTTTTTCCAGCGTGGGACTCATAGCTTGTCATTGAGCGGAAGTTTGAATTGTCGAAATTCATGCTCAAAAAAAGAGAAAAAAGCTCAGCTCCCTTTAAAGACGAGAGGAAAAAAGAGAATTCGAAGAGAAACAGGGAGCATTCAATGGCTCCATGAATTGATAATGAGCATTCATGCAACGTGCTGAAGGCGTTTGTCCCATATATGAGGCAGAATTCATTGGAGATGACCTCCACCCACATTCTTGCTGTTCGAATATACCAGGCACAGCTTTGATGTCGGCCATCAGCTGAATCCCCGGGGAGACTCTGCTGTAATAAACCACAGCAGTGAGCTCAATGCAACACACTTACCAGCAGGAAGTCCCGTCAGCCTGTCCCGGTGGCTCTCCGGGAGCTGCATGGGGTCAGAAGCCACAGAGATCGGATCACGACTCATAACTGTGCAGTTTGTCCGCTGACCAGCAGTGTTACACTTTAGATACTCTGTAGATGGAGAATTTGGTGAACAGAGCAGACATAAAATCCAAAACAACATTTATTGATGGGTTGCAACAATTATCCTCATCTTCACAGCCTTCGAATCTTTTGTGTAACAGACCTGCCAGCTGTTAGTTACAATTACAGGACTCTACTTATTAACACAGCTCAACGTACCTGTGGCATCTTTTACCCGACAAAGGACTTGGCTCAAGAGTCCCAGCTGGTTGTTAACCCAATAAACTCTAGTACCTGTGAGTATAGAGTCATATTTCAGCTGTGGCCCTGACAGTATTAAAGAAACTGATATGGAGATTTTAACCTGCAAATACATATGGAATCCAAAGCACATTTAATCTGATGTGTAATTTCTGTGGCATTGGCCTGTTAGGTCTCTTTTAAAGATTGATGTTAGAAAGTACAATAATTTTTATAACTATTTTTGATCGTGTCAACTCATACATTGACATTAAAAGTAACATAAAACAATGAAATGGATATTGATCATTTCTGCACATGTCATAACTTTTAACATTGTCGCTATAATCACTGCTGTTTATGGTTAAGGTTACTTCATGATGCTCTCACAAGCCTTGTTGTTGTTGTTGTGGCCTGGATTGCAGGACAGAATGTTGCCCCACTTTTCTACTTTATTCTTTATATTTAGATGCTGTAGCTCCTCAGGGTGCTGTCACATCAGTGCCTGCTAATCATCAGTATTTCTTGGCTCTCAAGACAAGCCTAAAATTTAGTCATTTTTTCCACAGTGTTAACAGGCAGAGGTAAAATGTGCAGGACCTTTCTGCAGACTAATGTCATATGTGTTATTATTATTGTTATTATTATTATTATTATTATTATTATTATTATTGTTATTATTATTATTATTATTATTATTATTATTATTATTATTATTATTATTATTGTTATTATTACTATTATTGTTATTATTATTATTATATTGATTAATTCATTCATTTATGATTTATTTCATTATGATTTTTTTTTTTTTACTTTTTTGCGCTGTCTATGTTGGGGTTTTGACAGATCAGGATCAATAATTAAATAGTTATCAAATAATAATTAAATAACTTGCACAGCAGGGTAATAAGTGTTTGAGAAATGTTGCACTCTGTGGTTCTGAAGTTTCTTTACTGAAGGATGTATCGGCTGTATGGTATATGGGCATTATATGTAAATATATGCAGCCTAAGTCCTTTGGTTAATGGAGTAAGCTCAAAGTTTGGAGTGAGGCCCGCTTTCATGTCGCAGACTTTGTGTGACATGTACAAAGTATTGGTGGTTTGATGGGCAGAGAAAACATTTAACAATAGAAATCATGTTGCTGTAAAAGCAGAAAATCTGGACCTGGAAAATGTACCCTGGAAAAAACAAGTGTGTGCATTTTCAAGCCCATGGAGGTCTCTGTTGTTGTCAAAGATGATATCAGAGGTCCAGACCCTTTTTGGTTTTGATCTGTTGGTGAGGGAGAAGTGATACTGACAAGTGCTGTGCTGTTTCTAAAAGTTTAAACACTGACCTGGATTGGTTTTATGTGGAAAACTAACTCTACTTGCACATTAGTGGACACAGCCTGTAGACCTGCATGCAATACTAAGACTTCTGCACTGAGCTCTGGTAACTTTCACACTTGTGATGCAAACAAAACACAATTGATCATTAAAATTAAGTTTCAGTTTAGTAAACCAAATCTGAATTCGCTGCTACTTCACAAGCAATTTATATTTCCTTGTTTTGAATTTATTCCTTTTTGTTTGACAGCGGTTAAAATGAAAAAACTCAAAAACAGTTTTATCAAAACACTGCGTGACTAATCCCTGAAGAGACTGATCAGTGGTCAGAGAAGTTTCCTGGGATTCCTGGAGAATTTGGGTTCGTCTCACATATAGTTACCAACAGTCTCTACACATTATACAGCACTGCACAGTTTATGCAGATATCATACACTAGTACACAGCTCGGGTATCAGCCTACAACCTTTGTCAGATCACAAAATCCCTCATCCTGTGAAATATGGGGACGTCTCTGAACTAGCTGCAGAAGAACAGGGAAGATTAGGGAGGAAAAGTGCATTAGGATGCTCTGGTTGTAAATATATACGAGGAGGAAGCGAGTGAGAGGGAGAGGGGAGTGTAGGTTTTTAAGTTGCTGTCACCGGGCTGTCACCGTGTCTGTCAGAACAGATCCATCACGGCTCTGACACGTCAGGCTTCACATTTGCATGGAGTGCAGCAGGAGCCCGTCCTTATTATGCATTCTGTCTCACACTAACCTTCCTCCTGCTACCCCATGAACTAACTAGCATCCGAGAGCCATATTTTATAGAACGGCATGAGCTGAGGATGATGGAGAGATGTTATTGGCCTCTGACAGTGTGTATGTGTGTGTGTATGTGTGTTGTTTTGGGTGCCGCCATCTTCCCAGGTGTACAGGGATCAGCCATCTTGTCAGGTGAGTTCCTGCTAACTAACTATATATTACTCTGATGCCACACAACAGAGGTGAGGGATATGAGGACATTGTGCGTGGGCGTGTGTGTTAGTGCGTGGGTGTGTGTGTGTGGCACAGTATGGCGGTGCAGATGCAGTCAGTCCCAAAGTGAGGAAGCCTCCGCAGGGACAGACACAGCTGTGGCATGGCATCAGGTTGCTAACGAGCCTCATCACACAGGCGCTAGACACACATGCACAGTACACACCAAAGCACACACACACCAATACACACGTGCACGTAAACATGCAGGGAGTCATGTAGAAACACACATTCCCAATTAAAAGGGCAGTGCATTCATGGAGACTCTGATTAACACACGTCTACAAAAACTCAAAGGCACATGTAAACACAGAAAACACAAATTATCTTCATAGACAATCGAAACAGTTGTTCAAATGTACACAGTCGACACTCGAACAGCACAAACAAGAACATGCACCTACAAATACATGAATTAACTTATATTTAAATACGAAAAAAAAACCTAAGTATCACTGTTTACATCTTACATCTCAAAGACGTCAGAGGCATGTCTGGATCAAGTTTGTGTATGTGACCACTTAAACCCGCTGAGCATTTTTTAGTCTAAAAAAGGTCTAATAAATGTCTAAATGTAGCCTAGACGACTGGTCTAAAATCAGGCTACCACAAGTCTAAAAATAAAAGATTTTTAGACGTCTAAATTTAGTCCAGACTAGCCGGCTAACAGAGATCTAACTGTATATTGCTCAATGGCTATTATAATTATTTTGGTTTAGAACTTGGAGATCAGTTATGCAACTCACAGTTGCTTTTTGAAATAAATAGTTATCGAATAATGGGTTAAAGTGCAACGTCTAAATTCCGTCTAAAGACATACAAAATCTAGATACTTGAAATTAGGTATAAAAAAACTAGACATCTTATAGTTGTCTATTGCTCAGTGGGAATCTACACGTGAGGATGCAGCTAATGGTTCACAGAGAGTGGTTCTGAGAAGTAACGTCAAGTCCATGCAGTGACTCCCACTACAGAGTCCTGACTGTTTTTACTGCAGATATTGGTTTCTGGCCTTGTCGCTTTTTGCTCAGAGATTTAGGAATATTTTAGTTTTCTTATGAACCATTGATGATGACCTAGTCTGTGGCCGAGTGGTATAGTGGATCATCTCTCATTTAGAACATCAGTGCCAGGATCAAACATCCAAGCGTCCTTGGGCAAGACAATGAACCCCGAACTGCTCCTGACAGCCAGTATAGTGTGAATGTTTATGAATGTAGTACTCAGTGGCATCTATTAGAGCAGACTTGGTTTATTTCTCCAGTGGTACAGTATGGACAAACTTACAAACATGCTTTTGTTTTTTAAGTGGCTGCTGGGCTGGAAGATAAAGAAGAAGAGAGTCATGGTTGTTGTGAGCAAAAAGACTTGACTAATGGAGGATCATACTTATTGTATATCACAGGTGCTTTTCGTCCTCTGAGACCACTGTAGGGTGAGCAACTGTTGAACTAAAATCTAACCAATATTGCTTAATATTTTCATGACCATACAATGAACCTTTAAAGCTTTCTAAGCAGATTTTAACTGAAGTAACAGCAGTGCACATCATTGTGTATGCAAACAAAAGAGACTTACACATAAACGTCTATGTTCTTATCTGTTTTTATTTTACAGTCACCAGATGAGCAGATACATCATTTTAGAAAAGAAATTGATATTTGCAAAAAATTATAATACAATTTTCTCAATATAGATTATGTACAGAATGAAATGTAGTCAAACTGAAATAGCTTTTTGCCTCTTTGTCTCGGTGAAGACAAAGCAGTGAAGAGTCTGAATGGTCCTCCATAGACCCATCTCCCTAACCAATAAATATAAACTGTATATATTATGTATGCTGCACTCATCCAGTCATGGACAATACCAGGGCACATTAGCTCTCCACAAAATTCCCTTAATCAGTTCTTGTACATTACTGTACTACACACACTCTCACACACTCCCATACCCACGAGAAAGCTTGACACACAAGTGCACACAGGCCAGAGAACAAATTACAGTTGGGTTACAACAATGGGCCATCTTAACTCATGAAAAGGAAGAAGAAAGCAAAAGAAAAGTGTATGGAAATACCCGTCATTGTCCTTGATCAGGAGGGAGAAGTGGCTTTCTGGTCAAAGCTCGTCGGAGCTGGCTGAGTAGCACTTGACATTTGGCCCGATTCAAACAGCCAATTCTACAGAAAGCCACCGAGCTGGAAAATCTCTCCCAGTCTCACAGATCCTGCCTCCTCATTTAGCTGCCTCCCTCCCATTCAGTCTCTCTCTGTATCTATCTACCTTTGTTCTCTCTTGTTCCTATTCTCTCTATCTTTAGTGGGACAGGTGCCAGGACAAGGGTTGGCTAATGCCCCCTTTGCCCGTGTTCCCTCTGGGAATGTAGAAAGTAAAACTCACACGAAAGCTCCTATCCACGCTGAATTGTAACAGGACAGACAACTGCACAATCACAGAACAAGCACAAGAAAAGACAACAGCAAAGTAAAGCTATGGCCAGGAAAGGGGGAGGGGGGGCGAATGCTTGTAGAAGGGATGCTTGAAGGACTAAAAGGACATTATAAGCACTTCACTTGCCAGCCTCTTTACCTTGTCGCTGGGCATCACCTCTCAGAAATCGCCCTGCTTGTTCTTGGTGGGGAGAAGAATTATGACTTTGTGCCAATGAGCGAATACACACACTTGCATAAATCATCCATCTTGTTTGGCGGTTAATTACTCTTGTTTACCCTCCGAGTAACCTCGGGATGGGGCGGCGCGATAGGAGGGAGCCTGGGAAGGGGAGATAGCACCAAATAGTAATCTGCTGACGCAGTTCATCAGTGTGCAATTCACAAGAGTAAAAGCATATAGTGGGCTTGAACCTGGGTGTTAGCGAATTAGACAAGGTTGCCTAGGGTCTGGAGAGAGCAGCTCCATCAACATCCTGGCCTGACCACAGCTGCACGCTAAGCTGTTCTGGGGTCAGCTGGTGAGAGAGCCACGCAGAGGCAGCCCAGCGCAGGCCAATCAGGGACCTCCTCAGGATGTGCAGCAGGCTCTGATCATTGCTTATTTCATTACGGGGAAAGCTACATAAATCCACAAAATGGAGAGGAAGAGGCACAGAGGGAATATTTGCATTTCTCCTCTCCTATCATCTCCCCTCAATGCCCCCCTCCCCAACACTACCCCCTTTCAATCCCTCCCCCATTTAGCGCAGAGTGACTTTAATCATCACTTTCGCCAAAACACATTAAGCCGGTGTGTCCGGAGTTGAAGAGGGAGAGGGGGGGTTGAAAAAACACAGAGTAGCGCATTAGATTTGCAATAGTGATGCATCACTCTGGCATTACTTTGGAGATTAAAGAAGGGATGTTGCATTTCAATAGAGTGGTGCTGATGGTTGTCTGATGGATGACTGTCCTCACTCTTTAAACAGAATAGGAAACACCACTGTCCAACAGGAAGAGAAGTCACCCTGACCCTTGTCTTCTCATCTATTTTTTTCCCTCTATGCCGTAAGGTCTCATTTCATCATCTTCTTAAAACCTCCTTTTTTCTTCATCCATAAACCTCAAAGCTTCCCCCTGCATTTTAACCCCCAATCTGAGAGCACCCTCTACTTTGAAAGGTATTTATGCAGCTGTTTGATCATGTTCTTAAGTCAAAACAACACCTCCTTTGTAGGAGGAGATAATACTGGAAAGTAGATTGCATACATTAAACTTAAGCCAACACAAACGTGACTTTTCCTGGTCTTTTTGTTACTGCATCTGTATTAAAAGGATGGATGTAAAGTGCTTGACAGCTTTGAACAGGCATGGCGAGATTGGGAGGGGCCATAAAAACTCAAAACAAAAACAAAAAAACCAAGGGCACAAACAAGGGAGTAGGCTCATTGGGGGAAGGCTCAATATGGAGACAGAGGGCTTTATAAACAGAGTAGGGCGGGGATAGGGTTAAAGGGGGAGTAGGATATTGGGCTGGAGGGAGTCCCCGGGAAACAAAATGACAATTTGTATTTTGTTCTACAGTCTCAGAGGAACAGAATCACAGTCAGTCAGTCCAAGGGTACAGTCCACCAGCAGCCTGGCCTGGTGGGGGAGATTTTTGATAATGTGTCTATTCCGACCCTTAGGGCCTGGATTCACCCTGGCACCCAGCTCTGGTTGCTGTGTGCTGCAGGAGGACATGCAAAAGCCCCCAGGCTCATGCCCATCCCCATCCCCAAGCCTTGGGATAGAGATCCGTCAAAGTTGAAGTCCATGCTCTCTGTGTCCATAAAGTCACTAAGCAGGATGGAGTCTACATCACAGTCCAGGCTATTGGGAACATTCTCTACGTCCAGATTGGCAGCCATTCGACTGTGTGTGTTGTGCTGTTGCCCCTGGTAACCAGTGTTCCCTGGTTGGTGGTTGTTGTGGTAGTAGCCATGCCAGGATTCAGTCATACCCTGATGGTGAGCCCCAGAGTAAGGCTGGTGACGTGGGTGAGGGGCGGATGCCATGCGGCAGGGGTCCTGAGGGACGTCCATGACACCTGCAGGGTTTGGCGGCAAGGATGGTGATGTTGGGAGATGTGGACGTGTCCCATAGTGGCTAGAGGACTTGAGGCTGTAGGGCTGCAAGATGTCATTGCTAACCCGTGGGGAGAGGGCCTGAGGGTGAGGCCCACTGTGCATAGGGTTATGAGGGTTGTGGTTGTGCATGTGGTTCTGGCTGGAGCGTGGGTTGTGATCGTGGCTGGCATTTACTTTGTTACTGTGACTGTGCTCATGACTTGGGCCGTAGTCATGGGCAGGGTGGGGCTTGTGACTGTGGCTGTAGTCAAGGCTGGCTTGGTGTTTGTGACCCTGATTGTGGTTCTGATGGTGGGCATTCTGGTCGTGAACTGAGCCATGGCCGTTGTGTAGGCTGGGATTGTGAGCATGCTCTTGGCTGTGATTGTGGGTATGATTGTGGCTGCGGTTCTGATTGTGACTGTGCTGGCTGTGAATGCCGTTGGTTCCCTGTGTCATTAGTGCGTGTGTTTCCCGTCCCTGGCCCAGAACTGTGTCCTTGCTGCAGTAGGATGGACTTCCAGTGAGCAGACTCTGCAGGGCATTGTTCTCTGAGTAGCCCCTCATTGGGCGCTGGAAGCTGACTGGCTTGTTCTCCTGGATGGTCTCCATGGGAGTGTGGTGCCGCAGCATGCCCATGGAAGGCTGTGTGTAAATGGGCCCACAATAGGAGCCTTCTGCCTTGGGCCTAGGCACATAGGGATAACCGTTGCATTTGATTTGCGGTGGCTGGGGATAGCCGCTTTCATCTAGACTGATAGCCCCAGTAAGGTCAGTCAGCTGGGGGAGCTCAACACTAGGGCAGTGGCCTCCAGTGCCCAGTGCAGGGGATCTGGTGCTGGTGGGGCTGGGGTAGAGCCGAGGAGAAGCCGAACAGGAAAGTCCTCCCTCTTCTGGTTCATCCGCCTCTGCCTCTGCTAAGATTGGGGAGAGGCAGCCACTCATCGTTGAGGCAGAGGAGGATGTACGGGAATGGAGGTCCGTCCAAGTGTCATACTCCTCGCCCCCCATGCCTATACCTCCCTTCCCTGCTGGACTGCCATGCTCTGGGGAGCCTTGCATTGCAGAACCAGCCCCGTGACCTTGTCCCCTTCCAAGGCCCATGGCTCCTGCTCTCTTACGGCTGATGCGACCCTTGGTCTTCAGGTAGCGGGTGCCATTGTCTATAGAGGCAGCACGTCGTCTGGGTCCCTTCCCCATCTTCCCGCCCTCTGGATTCAGCATCCACCAGGAACTCTTCCCTGTCCCTTCATTTTGCACCCGTATGAAGCGACTGTGCAGGGACAAATTGTGTCTGATCGAATTCTGGAAGAGACAGATAGAAAAGAGATGGTGGGAGAGAGGGAGGAGGGGGCAGAAAAGAGAGAGAGAGAAGAGATAAACATTAACACCCCAGGGAACATTTAGGGTTAAATAATCATTTCTTGAGAACACAAAGTCATTTCAAATTATGGCCAAACTATCAAGGCTGTACGGCGAGCGAGAAAAAAGATGGATAAAGTAAAGGAGGGAGATGAAGGGGGGAGCAAAGAGGGCAGGGAGAGTGAAGGACCAATCGATACCTCCCCTGACCAGCCTCTCTTCTCCACACGCGCTCACTGAGTCATAATATGGACATGGGTGCAGCCTCCACATCAAACCATCACCAAGGTTACAGAAATGAATCACGCGAGGCAACCCAATCACAGACAGACCATATCGATTGCAGGGCCTCCAAATATGAGAGCCTGAGATCCAGCCAGAGACAGGGAGGGAGAAAAGCAAAGGGAAGGAGGGGGAGGCGTGATTTGGCAAGAGAAGATCTGGACGACCACCAAAATGAGAAAGAAACACTCACACACAGGCCTGGAAAAAGATAGAAAGGAAGTTAACGAGGGAAGGGGAGGAGAGGAGATGATGACATGCTAATTTAACCTCTTTTAAAATCATGGCACAACTAACATGACCGTGGGCAAAAATGGTGGATATCTTTATGATGAAGTCTTCCAGTCTGGAGCGTTGAAAGGAGTCGGATGTGATGATTTCAGGTGGGGGTGTGTATAGAATAAGCCTCTCCAGACCCCTGTTTAAGTGTCTGAGTGACGGCTGTATAGTTAATCCAGGGCTCCGCAGGAGCATTTGAAGCCAGTGCCAACCTGGAGTGAGTTGATGAGATCTAAGCCTGCCTAAAGGAGAGCTTAGCAGGGATACACATCATCTCAGCTGGCCAAGTTAGTCTAAGTACAGCGTGTTCATCCAAATCTTTCCTGCTTGTGTCATTATTCACACTCTCCAGCTTTCCTCCCTCTGCTTTACCGCCTTCTTTTTCTTTCCCACTCTTTTGCCTATCGCTCTTTTCTGATCATGTGGGAGGAACCGATCCCCCCTCAACCTCAGCCCTCTACTCTGTGTGCACAATCACATACTTTTCTTTTCCTCTCTGGAGATATCTATCTATTTCTGCCTTGTTTATTACCTGCACATAGCTCACAATCTCTGTCTCCTGATATCTGGCGCCGTTCTCTATCTTCATTCACTCCCCGCCTCCTGTCCAATTTTCCTGCTCTCAGCCCCATTCATCTCCTTCTCTGTGTCCCAGTGTCTCTTGATCACGACATTGCTCATTCTCTCCCTCTCTCCCCACATCCATCCTCTCATCACCTTACACAACTTCCATCCTCCCTCCCTCCCTCCCTCCTCTTTCACTCATTCATTCACACTGAAAAGCGAGCAAATATCAGAAATAAGCAGAGGGAGATGCAAATCTGCGCTCAATGGGGGGCCGGCTTACATTTCACCCTTCAGTGCAATCCATACAGTCAGCATATGTACCCTCTTTATCCCCCTAACCCCCCGTTATACTCATGCCACATGCCTGTAAACGGGACAGGCAGATATAAGAGGGGTGACAGCTCTTTATTGTTGCAAAGTATTCTGAAAAGCACAGCATCCGGAGCAGCAGGTAATATGCTTCTCACAAAAATGTTTACAGGAGGATTCAGCTTTAAGTGGATTTCAAATCAGCCGTGTATCCTACCTACTACTATTCTGATTCATACTCACACACACCCATCCCCACAGCATGACTCCTAACAGGTAATTTTGTCCCATCCTCCACTCAAATCACACGGCTTTGACTGCACTCTCTTCACAAACATGGAAATTGGATAGAAGAGATGTATTTATGTTTTCTGCTGTTCAGAGGGGTCGTTTCCAAAACACCAGGTCGGCGAAATTACACAAGCTCAACACGCGACAGCGAAATCGTCCGACCGTACTCCTTAGTTGTGGTGCGCAGACTTTATCAAAGCCAAATTGAACGACGACGCCGTGTGAAAGAGGCCGCCAATGGAGGCGACCCACATCAGGTGATCTGAGAGCGGTACCCTGACAGGTTCCTCCACAACATGATGGCTCCAGCTGGGTGTAGTCATGGCAACAGAGTAAACCAAAAGAGGGAGAAATTAAGAGAGGGGAGGTGATGGTGGGGGAGAGAGGAGGGGGAGGCGGCTGATGCTGTTTGATGCTGCAGGCAACTCCAAACAGCCTTTTATCTGAGTCTGTCAGATTCCTGCTTCCAATCCACCAGGGAGGCTCAATCACCAGTAGTCCCAGCGTCTCACTACCTGTACCAAGCTGTGATTAGCAGTGGTATGCATGTGTGTGTAGGTGTGTGTGTGTATGTGGGCAGGCTGAGCTTCCGTACAACTACTAGAGCAACAATTATACCACAATAGTTGACTTTTGTTCCTCCATCTGCTTGAAAATACTGAGAAGAAGGAAAATGTGACAGCCCTCTGCATCTATAAAATATATGAGTATAAAGCTGAAACCTCTTTAAGACAGAGTATGACATTATTTTACAGTAATACTGTATGAAAAGTGAAAACAAAAGGGTGCCGATACTAATCACTTGAAATGAAATTGACTGCAGAACAGTCAGTTTATAAAAAATGTCTTCTGGTTGGCATGTTGAATATCAGACCTGAATGTAACAGAGAAAGAAACCAAACTGGAACTCCCGAGAAGTGTGAATGCTGTCACATTAACCAGGGATCACTGGATGTCAGTGTGTAGTTAGAATTATCTTGAAATATCTGCAACACATGTTGACACTGATGGGACATGTTCTACATTTACTCCTTAACGTTTCACATTTAATTTTGGAATAAATGAATAAACCTTGTATTTAAATGTATAAACACTCAAAAGCTGTCTCCTACCTCTAAATCAGAGTTTCAGGTCAGATTGACAAACAGTACAGCATTTACTTTTATAAGTAACATCATTGTCAAGATCATATATTGCATGTTATCGCATTACTGGTGAGAACTGTTTTGTATCGTTAACATGGATTTAAAATCTGTTTTGAAATACAAAATGGTGGAATTTTCAACATGCAATCAAAAAATGTGGTTAGAAGTGAATTATTATTTACATTTTGAGATGAGCTTTGATTTGAAAATAAAAAAAAAAAGTTGTTTGACAGCCCTAAATTATAAATCAAAATAAAGAAAATAAACATAAAGTTAAAGAATCTATGTCTTTGGAGTTCTTAAAATATAATGTACTTTAGTCCCTTGACAGAACCTGCTCATATTGTCTGAAAAGCGAACAATATATTCAGTTGCAATAAACAAGAAGTGTCCCTGAGGGAATTGTAAACTATAAAATAAAGCAGGATGAAAACAGATCACCTTTTTCCCCTTATTTCAACATTTTTAATTACAGTCTAAAGATTTTTACATCTGCAGACACTGTTTGTCTTCTAAAAGCCAGGTATGCAACAGTTGGATTATGAAGAAGGAGAGAGTGGTTGTTTTTGTTTTTGTTGTGTGCTAAAGAAGTTTTTGATGGTGAAAATTTAAGACTATATCATACATCTCAAGGGTTTCTTGTCCTCAAAGCAAGGGAGTATGTAAAAATAGAATCTGACCAATACATTTGGTTTATTACATAAGGTTTATCCAATCATATCTTACCAAGAAATGTTCCCATTTTTACACACTGCAGCTTTGATTCAACAACAAGTTAATCCCATATGTTACACTTGGGACAACTTGTAACTTCATGCTACCCTGCTATCAGCACAGATTTTTGTGATCACAGCGCCCATGACCAACTTGCTGTTGCCAGGTTATTAAAATTGTTGCATAGCACTTCTTCTTTCCACAGTAATGACTTTTTCATTCTGTTTCAAAAAGCTTTTTATGTTTTGTACTTGCTGTCTTTCAATGGGACTTTATATAAAACATAAAAGCCATTGATAGAATTCATGTCATAGTTTTAATAGCAGCTCTGGACCTTGAAATAATCCTGGAAAATGTGTCTGCTTAGTTCTTCCTCTTTTTATACCTCCACCATTGTTGGTGACAAAGTTGATACCAAATGACCTGCCTCTTTTGATTCTGGTTGGTCAGTGATCAAAAAGACGTGTCTCAAAAGTTGACAGTGATGATCTGCAAGAAATTAGATGAGGCCATTTCATGATCCAAATTCAGTCACTTAACATGTTATTTTGGAGGTATGTTAGGCTTTAAATTGTCCTGCCGATTATGACAACCCTACAAACCAACGAAAATAAGTATGAGCTTTTCCAAAATAAAACAGAGTTAAAGTAAAATCAAACCAATTTCTCAGTGCAAAACGAATATAATTACGTTTATGCCAAGAGATGATGGGAGGGTCAGCCAATACTTGGACTTTTGCTCACCATCTCTTGTAGACATTCCATTTTGGTTACGTGTAGCCTTAAACGCAATTGTTCCATAGCCAAGTGGCTATTTCTTTTTTTTTAACCAATACCACCAATGTCCTCAAACCATAAAAGAAGTTCTGGTAGTTCTGATCCAAACCACAATCTTTTCCCCAAATTGACTGAGCCTCAAACTAAGGGTTTGACAGTGTGATTTGTGTCTCAAAAATATATTTTTGCCATGTAATTTTGATCTAAAGTTAAAAAGATATGCAGTGGCAAATGTGGATGGAAATCCCCTTTCAATGGAAACAAAACCAAAACAAACACAGAGTCACAAACTCAAGTGACAATTCCCACTTATCAAAGCAAAGTCCTGATGAGGACGGTAACTTTTCCAGGGGATTTCAAATAATCCAAAAATCCCTTTGAAATAATAGCCTATCTTCAACTTTAATTATAATCATTACCATCTTAGTGTTTGCTGGCTATCACCAAGGACAACACAATGACATCATGAAACAAAAGAAATGAAGGCAGCTCCTGATTATCGCTTTAACTATTCAGCGCCTCATGAGGCCGGTTCATCAACTGTGGGGAATGATTGGATCTTTGCATGCGAAGAAAATTCAGAGAGCCTGACAAGTGAGAACTTCCAGTGAAGTCTTTGGTTGTTCTAATTCCTGCAGATTCTCAGCTCTATGTAGCACATACTGTAGCTGGATCCCTGTCTAAACTAGTCAGGAAAGCATATTCTAGAGGAGACTTCCTCTGCTCTTGGCTTTTGCCTGTCCTCAAATTCAAGGGAGAAAGACTATTGCCGAGAGAACAGTGACTGAATCTGTCCTAGACTCTACCCTGCTCCTCTACAGGGAACACGCAGCACTGTATCCAACTCCGCCACTGTGTATTATGCACAAACAGTGACTGAGTTTGACCCTGACACTTTGCTGCTTTCACTGAGTCAGGGGATAGTCAGTCCAGTGGTTAGCTAATGGCCTGTGGACACACAGATCTGTCTAAACACAGAATTCTTACTCTTTCCCCTTTTTCAAAATGCCAGACCAGGGAACAATTTATGACTGGGTGTGGGACTACATCATACTGCTACAGACTTTTGGCCCTATAATAACAGGGGAACATTTAAATTGAACCATTTAATACACATTTACTGTACATTTAAGAGGTAACTAGGAGCTTTTGGACATCTTTGTCCTCTGCAGGAGTTACAACAGGATTTCTACTAACTTGTTAGTCTTTATTCACTTGTTGCATGTATTTTGTAAAGTCACTATCAATAAATCACTTCCAGGTTTCTACTGTCAATAATAGATACCAGCTTTAAGATAACAGATGCTGAATTTCAAAACCTTTATTGAAAAAACTGTTTCAGTGCGTCACATCTATGAAGTATCTACATCTCTGCATTGTCCTGCTTTTATTCTGTTTTTTATATTTAGGTTTATGGTGGTACGGGATGCTTGTTAGGTTGAGACATGTTTTATATCTGTCCTTAAGCCCCTTAAACAATTGTTTTCAACGATTTCTCTCAATGCTGTCGTCCATGAGACTCTGATGGCATCCTCGTTTTTTCTTGTCTATGATCTTCCTCTGGAAAAAAGAGCCTTTTCAGAGCCGCCAAAAGAAAGTATACATCTCTGTTTACATGCTCAAAAGAAAAAGCAAATTAGTGAAATGTCCCTTTACCCTCATGATATTACATTTTTCAATAAATAGACTGTTAGTAAGTTAATACAGGCTGTTTAAAACAGATTTTAAGATTGATCTAATGACTTTTAAGGCTCTTTGTTACCTCCCTCCAAGCTTTTTCTCTTGACTGACTTTTCTACGATCAAAAGTTTTCCTTTAATCCACTTTTACCTGCAATGTTTATGTATTTGTTTTCCTTTGAAAGCTGCGCACTATGAGGAGAGAGGATACTCTATAAATAAAGGTTATAGTTATTATTGTAATCCTGGTATTCACAAACTGAGCATGCCAAAAACAGACAAATATGTGCAGTCAAGGTAAATCCATGCAGATGAAATAGATCCTTTGTTTAAATATCAAATCCTGTCAGACTTAGAAAAGCTAATACACATTCATACTTGTAGATTATATTACACATGCTGTTATTCTCAACACTTTTCCTGTACCTGCTTTACGCTGAGGGGCTTACTTGCCTTTTTAAACGGTCAGAAAGTTTTCAGCAGGATGCCGTGTGCCCACATCCTCCATTTCAAAAAAGCAATAACAGAGCAATAGCTAATTTTCTTGATTATTATTATTTTCAACCCCCTTGTCCCTTTTTTATTCTGGGTTAGGTAGCTAATTACACCTATTGCAAATTATCCAGTTTATGTTGCATAGCAACCAGAGTGATGTAACGCTTTGTACTCGCTTTCCTCTGTAAGTCCCTCTGTTACGATTCTCTGAATTGGGCTTTGTGTAAGCTCAGAAAAGCCACATACCAGTTGCACAAAATGTCACATATAGCTCACATGTCAGTGTGTGCACGAGACCTTTTCACTCAGAGAGGAAGTATTTCCACCTCTTGATGAGGATATTTCATATCCTTATTCTGTGAAGCCTTGCATGCAAACAGCACACATGTAAACAAACAGCGTCATGTATGTTTCACAACTTGACACATGTTCACCTCGATGTGAACGCACACACAGCCTCCAGCACCCCCCACCCACCCCAAACTGGCAATCATACTTAATCCCTCTCCAGCCTGAGTAATCCCCGACAATCCAAGGCTAATCCTGGTTAATTCTGGGCACTCCTCAGCTGGGTTTCACCCTGAAACCACAGAGACAGGGTGGGGATTGGTCGGATCATGGTGATTGAGGCTGGGCGCGGCATTGATGGACATAATTGGTTGGGCAGTTATTGAAGGCCAAGAAAAACAAGCACAGGTTTTCACGGGTCTTTACAAATACGTCCGGATTGACCCTTACTACGTCACAGCACAGCCTTGCTGTTGTCACCGCTTGGGGTACAAAACATGTTTTCCTTCAGTATCCTGTGGGTTGTCACGTAAACATTTCCATACTTCCCTGTCCATTTTTTTCTGTTTGCCATGACCACTGCCTGGAGACTAACCCTGAAGGATTTACAAGTGTGCCCATTCAAACTAAAACTCCAATTCTCAAAAGGGTGGACACTGAAAAGGATGAATAAACACAGAGTTTGTGCCTATATTCAGGGTCATTTTACTGTTGTTGCCAGAAGCACAACTCAAAAACAAGGCCATGTTTACCATTGAGCTGCATCACCACCTCTTTAAACAGGACTTTCTAAATGTTTGGGAACGAAGGAGTTGATGGAGTTAAGAAAGCAAAATGTCAATATTGTCTGTTGTTGTAATACTTGCTGATTGTTTTGCTGAAAATGCAAGATTTAACCTGAAAAAGGAACTATCTGGATGGTAACATATGTTGATCCAAACCTGTTTGTGTTGTTCAGCATTAGTGATACCCTCCCAGATGTGTAAGCTTCCCATGCTATGGCCACATATGCACCCCAACGCCATCACAAATACTGGATTTGGTGGATGGAGGTGTCCATGATTTCCAAAAGGAGTGTCAAATTTTAATTTGTCAGATGAGGGAGTGGTTTTCCACTTTGTCTCAGCTCTCTTTTAGACCGGGATTTTATTTACATAGCTGCCAATAATCCCACATTGGCCGTGAGACACATGCATTTGATTGGCTTCGCCCTCTCACATGGCACACCCCTGATTTCTGTTATCTACCTGCTGACTCAACAGGTAGATAACAGACAGCAGAGTGGATTTTTTCTTTTGTTTTCTAAAATCATTCAAATCAAATCAAATCAAATCAAATCAAATTTTATTTATATAGCGCCAATTCACAACAGTCGTCATCTCAAGACGCTTTTCAAAGCCCTACGTATGTAGCCCAAATGATCTCTGGTTTTCGTGAAGTTTATTTAAGTAGCTTACTATTTGCCCATGTCATTGATGTTAATGTTGCCATCTTTGTCATTGTTATGAAGAGGGTTACAGTTGTTGTGTGCGTTCAATTCACTGTGCGGTTGCTTTTCACTTGTTACAATGTATTTTCTTGGCGGTTATGGCTGAGGCGAAGGCCTGGTTGTAGTGTTCATGGTTCACCACTGTTGTTGAGTTATGGCTTAAAGTGACAAACGCCACCAGTGATCGGCGAGTTAAGCCTACAAAGCCAACAAGGGGGTGGAATTTGGATCTTGCGCTTTTGGAACCAGAGCCAGAGACCGCTGTTGCATTGTCACAAGAAAGTCACAACCACTGGTTACAACTTAGTTTTTTCCACTGAGGTGGCAGAGAGATGTTGATTTTCCCCCACTGATGTAGCTAGTAGTAAAAGTTTAAATTGTGTGGTTATGATCCTGAATAAGCAAAACAAAAGATTGCTGGGTATTCTGCAAAATTTTGGTTGGCCAACTAAATCTCACTCCAGATGAGATCCCAAGATTCTTTGTAACTTTGCGCTTAAAACCTTATCCTGAAATTATCGATGAATTTACTCACACAGCCTCTAATGAACCTTGTACCATCAACATTTTGGATAGTGTCCTAACTTTTTTGATGGGGATGTAAAATTAAAAACAGTAACATATATAAAAGTGATCCTACCCCTGGTGTAAGAGGCTTCTGAGAAGTCATTAGCTGCTATTCAATCAGCTCTACCTAGCGAAGCTCTGAGCTCAATTCTTCTTAGCAGCTATTGATCCTGATTCCAAAATGAAGCACTTAAGACGCCTTGATCAAGCTGCTCCTTAATCTAGCGTTAAGGAGATTGAGACCTTTTCACCCCGTGTCTCAGACAGACTTATTACTCTGGCGCAGAGGTACAGTGGCAGTCAGAGCACACTCCACTATCATACACCCAGTTTCAGTTTTAGAGTCTGCTTAAGCCCCTCTGGTGCAGAGCAGGCGGCCCAAACACTTTTACTCTCTGCCATTTTGAAAAAGCTGTCAATATACACAAAGCCAAGCGTGCTAATGAAGCAATATGTCACTGACAGGGGAGGGATGGGGATGCTTTGTTAAAAAACAAGAAGGCCTCTGGTGTTTGCAGGCTCTGTCTGTTCGATTGAGTTTGCACATGGAAACTGCAGGATATGTGTGTTTGAGCGCTGGTATACTCATGAGAGTGTGAAAGCAGAAGCAAAAAGGAAACTGATTTACCTTCTGCTGCGGCTCTGTCAGCGGCAAGATGGGAACAGGTTGCAGAGGAGTTCTGCTCCTGGACATTTTTACAGGATACTTTTACCTCAACATCCTCACAGGAGGGGAGTCTCTTGAAGGGAGTTCTTTAGAGGATTCAGCAGAACATCATGTAGTGGGTTTTATACTGCTTACTGCTTCACATTTTAAGGAGCCCACCTCTAATTTATGAAGCATTCAAGAGGAGAGTTGCGTTTTAAATTCCATGCGGCGCTCCATTAGACGTGGTCCTGCAGAATCCAGCCGAGTGTTGTTCGGGGATTGTTGTTAGCCGCCTTGTTGAGAAGTACTGGGACTAGGCAAAGCCGTTCTCTCCCCTTGCTCAACCATTATTTATTAATCCATTTCACACAGCCAGGAGTCATTATGCATGGTCCTGTCAATGGGTATCTCTCTATGCCGCGCATTTATTTGATAATAAGCTGGAGTGGGGGAGAAGATAAAAGCGCTGACTGCGTTCATTGTGGAGCGTTTTCTGCAGGCGGGGAGACTTAAATGAGAGCAGCCAGGCTCTGTGTGGGAATGGGTCTCGTCTGCTAAGCCTGTCTGGAGGCAATCGATGGAAATTAGTCAACGCTAAAGATTCACTTCCTGTGACTGATGTCACGGGCAGCGCTTGTCTCTTTGAAGGGGAATAAAGGAGTGGGAGGCTGAAGGATTAATGGGGTTGGAGAAGGTGTGAGCATGCAGGGTTTGGGTGGGGGCTTAGCTGGGAAAAAAAGATGCTATTCTTCTGGTAAATTGCGGGAAAATAATAGGTCAGAGCATCCAGAGGAATGAAGTGAAGCTAAAGACAAGAAACAATAAGGCAGTTGTGTACACAGCTAGCGACAGTATCACTGCTTTAAGTAGAAAAAATAAGTGCCAGTGCTCTCCTTATTCACTTGTTGGCGTGTGTGTCGCACAGCCAGTGTTAGTGAATCATTAGTATTCAAGTATGAATTCTTACAATTAATTCACCTGTAGTGCAAACACACACAAGGACACACCATCAGCTATGTATTTAAAGTACTGTTATGAATGGCCAAGAGATACTGTGATATTGAGGAGACAGGAAAAGGTGCTGGCAGCTGGTGAGAAGTCCAGATACACTAAAAATATCCTGGTACACCAAGGGGTTGAATCTGGGAGGGATGGTGGCGTTACTGGAGTGTACTGACCAACTTAAAGCATTGAACAGTACCAGTTACAATAATGTGCTTTAAATGATATATTGTACCGTCATAATCATGCAATCTGCAGCATAGACTATAATCCTGTGTTTAAGGAACAATTTTTGACTCTTTGCAAAGTGACCAGGAAATAAGTTGCTGTGGAGAATCCCATATGAGGACACCCGAGCATTTGTGAAAGATTATCCTTTCACATTTTATCTGAGGACCCATTAAAACCACTTAACAAATTCTGTTTCTGGCCCCACCAGTTGTGGCAGATGGAAGTCCAACAATCAGTCTGGTTTGGCTTTAGGCTTCTGCAGTTGACGGAAAGTCCTTTATTGCATCTGCTGTTCAGTGCTTGTTTAGTGTTGTTAGGGTTGGTTTTGCTGATGACGATAAATGATCATCATCGTTTTTTGACCGAGACGAGACAGTTACGAAATAAGCTAGATATAAATTGCTGACAATAAAACCTATGATGAATACACGTTTTGTTTTCACTAACAAGACAATGATGAGACATAAGAAATTTAGACATTCAAGCATTTTCACTAATGTGTATCTAATCAGTCATTCCTTATACGGGCAATGTATTCCTGTGACATGCGGGGTTAATTGTTGGGTGCAGTCTTAAAGTAATTACTGAAATGTTTTTATTTGTATTGACAAAACTTGGCGAAAAAGTTTAGACTTTTTGTCAAACTACAACTAGAATGAAATGATCTGATTTTTAATTGATTCAAACATGGACAAAATGACTAACAATGTGACTAAAACTAAAAACAAAGTTATCATTGGCTTAATGCCGAGTTAAGTTTAGCTACAATTGATAGTATTGTATAAAAGTACCCTGAAGTATATACTGTATTGTTGGAAATTGTGCAATATGAATAGTAATTGATGGATTTGGAAATTAGAGAATGCTTGGATAAAGTTGAAAAAATGAAGAAGAGCCTGAAATATTTCTTTTAATGTAAGTTCTAAAACCTTTAGATCCTGCAAAAATGGATTTTAGGTTGACCACATTATAGCTAATTAGACAGTGACATAAAGAAATACTCGTTAAGCCAGCACATAAAGGTGTAAACTCATTTTTAGAAAACAAAGGTTGTTGTAACTCAGGAGGTTAAAACAAAAGTTCAGTTTTTTCTAGTTTTTTTTGTCATCCAACAACAAGAACCGTCTTTTCTGGCGACGAGGATGAATAATAGTGTATAGGTGGTAGCAGCAGTTTCAGTTTGTCATAGCGGTGACAAAACGATAAGAGTTAGTGTCTCCAGCAGTTGTACTGAGGCGGCCTCCTGAAAGGTGCACCAGTTAGCTTCTCCTCAAAGTACAGCCCAGGGACTAGAGCCGGCCCTCAGGCAACAGAAGGCCTTTCACTCCCCTCACTCCCTGTGGAGCTCCATGAGCTCTGGTGGGGGGTTGAAGACAGAGAAACGAGGCAGACAGGAAGGGAAAGATGGGTGGAGAGAGGCAAGGAAAGAGGCAGCGTCTGGGGCTAACCTGAGAAAGGTAGACGGGAAGAGAGCCTGAGGGGCCAGAGGCGGACAGCAAGCCCAATCCCCACCGGAGAGGCCTCTAATTGGAGCTGCCGGCATGCCGAGGCAGCCTGTCCCTTGGCGGATGGACATAAGGAGCCGAGTGAAGGCGGAGAGCCCGGGGGTGGGAGGAGAGGGCAGATAAAAATAGAGCCGGCAGATTAACGAGCATCTGAAAGCGGGGCAGGGGATCGGAAAATCCTCCTCTGCGTGCCAGAGTTGCCCGGTCCTCAGGTCACAGCCAGCTCCATAAAAAGTGATGGGCAAGGACTGCAGGACTGCCCGTGAGAGGTGCTTCCTTCCTTTTAGTCCTCCTTACATCACGAACACTGAGGGGAGGGGACGCCACCATGTCCTGCTAGAGGACTTTGATTAAATTTTAATGACTATTGTGGGAGTAAACTCAATGGGGGAAAAAATCTGTTCACACTCTTCTTTTGATTTATCCTTACCCATAAAAATATTTGAGACTATCTCAAAAAAAGATTCTCATTGTGTCTTTTGCCAGGGCTGTTTGAACTCTCTTCACTTGTAGTGGTTTTTAGGAAGGTTTTCAAATAGAGACTGAGTTTAAAAAGTATTTTTTTATTCTAAGGGAAGCCTCTGCTTTGAATTTGAAGTGTCTCTTTGGGGAAAATTACAAATGTAGCTGGTAAATGAGCCACAGGACAAAGTTTCCTGACAGATGGGCACCCACAGAGAGTACAATTCTTTCTAAATGCAGCTGTAATATTTTTTAAAATCAACTGTATTAAAATTTCTGATATCAGTGTTTTTGTTCAAGCTTTGGGAAACACTATTTACAGCTTATCTTACTGGTTTTGAGTTAAATCTCAGGGTAAAAAATGACTTAACCATTGAAAAACATGATTTATTTTGGCTTATCTCTGAGATCATTACAGAGCCTAAAACAAAATTACCCAGTTAAAGGTACAACATGTAAAAATAGTAATAGTAATAGCTAACAGTCAGATCCTAGACCTAAATGCTTGCCTTTTTACCCCTCCCATTGGTGAGGCAATGGTGGCTCATGCAAACCTTCTTTTGACAAATTTAACCATCACTAATGTGCATCAAAAGAAATCATTAAACCACAACAACCAACGCTCTCTTAACATAAAACATGTATGTAAGTAGTTCGTCCATTCTACACAACTTTAGAAACATGGCAGTGCAAGATGGCCGCTTTTCCACTATATTTCAAAAGATACCAAAAGCTCAATATAAGAGGGAAAAAAAGGTTATAAATCACTAATTTGTTTTTATTCATGTATTTTGTGTTAATTCTACCAAGTCAATTCTGCTAAATCCTGTTAAATACTTCAAACTGCACCTTTAAAGAAATGTTGCAAAAGTTTATAAAGATGGTAAAAGAGGTGGAGCAGAGTAGAAAAGAAAAGACTGACAACGTGAAAATCAAAGGGTAATTGAGAAAATACAAAATGTTTAAAAAAAAACTAAATAATTTACTAAAAAAATAAACGGGTCAATAAATGTCAATTAAAAAAAGTCTATTTTGGGGGGGTTCCTTTTGTATATCTCTTTGTACATCCATCTTTCATTAGTCTTTTTATTACCCGGTGAAGTTTAATAAATGAGTCTGATTGGTCAAAACAACAAAAAAAAAGTTATTAAGTGAACCCAAAGACAACCAGATGTATTCGGAGAGTATAAACTTAAGCACCAGCAAAGAAAAGAAAAAGGAGGTTTACATTCGAACATAGTGAGGGGGAAAAGTGCAAGCAACATCAACCAAATTAAAGAAAACAGACACAAAGCAACCACAAACCACAACCCAGTATAGACGATGGCAGTTTCATAGATCTGAAGAGTTAAGAAATGTGCTGCTGTGAAGTTCCTACAACTTTACAGAACAAGAGATGAAAATAACTTGAAAGAAAAAAATTAAAATTTAAACTTTACAATAAATACAAATAAATACAAAAAGGTTAAGTCAGCCTGCATGTGGGCTTATAAGAATACTAGTTCAATGGATTCACTACCATGGTAAGGTGGTGTTTTATGAAGCTGCATAAAAAGAACTTATAAAATCAATGAAATTGTCTTAAGATCAGTTCTATACTTTTTACAACAACCTCTATTTTCTCTTCTCATATGCTCGCACTCCTTTATAGATGTATTTATTTAAATGGCACTCCTTTAACTCCCTGAGACGGATCTAAACTGGGACCATTACTGTAATAACTGATAATGTTCTCCACATGACAGATGTGCTGAAGGCAGTTTCTGATGAAATGCTTAATTAGACAGGCTGCCAAACAAAGCCTCAGCACTGTGGAAATACAGAAATAAAGGCCCTTCAGTTACAGTAACCACAGTCTGTGTAGTTTGTCACCTCCACCTTTGACTCTCGCTCATGAAAGGCGTCCACCCCCACGGCTGTGATTCCTATCCCTCCCCTGGGCGCTTTCACACGCCAGGTGGAGCATCGTGACACCTATGGGAGCCAAAGGAGAAGCTGAGAAACAGGCCTGATCACACCTGCCATCAGGTCTCAGGAGAGCACCACCCACCTCAGCACTCAGCTGTCACATCCATCCACACAGCAAGGCTGCGCGACACCTCCAACAAATGCACTGATCCACAGTCAGAAGCTGATACACTGGCAGAAACACGGAGCTGAGACAGTCTGAATGGCACATTAATAAAAAGAAACAAAGGCGAGATTGACTGCAAGAATTGGAAACATACCCAGACACTGCCACACAACTCAGCATGAGAATAACAACTATCTCTTCTATTCAACTCTCGGCCCCTCATCCATAACTAAAAGAGGTTTTTTTTAACACGACGCTGTAGCCTTGAAGAATAACAGACTACAGAAGACGAGGTGATCAACCCCATCTAAAGTGTCTGTACCTCAATTACAGCTTAGCTTGATTTAATCTAAAGTAGAACTGAGAGCCACTTATCACGGCCATGAGGTTTCAACACTTTGTCTGATGAATATTCATCAAAGTTTTTAAAAAAATCAGGTATTGTTGAATATTCAGAGCTTGTATATCTTTGCTCCCAAACTGCCGCTTCGTTCAAGTATCAATCTTGAATCGACCACTTAGTCAGGAAAGATTGCCAGACAGGCTGAATCAACATTTAGGTTCAGTCCTGCGTTGTGTTCATTTTTTGTTCTTAAATTTTACTTTAAGTACTTTAAAGTTTAAGTGATAACAGCAAATCTGTCCTGCCAGTGTTGTGTTTTATATACACTGCTGTCAAAGTTCAAGAATAGAGCTTTTGATGATTCAGGAGTAATGTGATATAAAGTACACTCCTTCGAAGCATCTTTCCAAAATACACTCCTAAAAATTTAAGATTCTACAAACTTGCTTGTTCACACGTGTACCTGAGAAAAGTTTTCCCTGTAGGACGAGGAGAGTGGTGGTCACGCATGATCTCAAAGGCACACTATGAAAGCTGAAGTCTTCTGTTTACAACATGATGGCAGACAAAGCAGAGACCTACGCAGAGATGACGGTTTTTACATTTGTCTCTCTCATCTTACAAATTCGTCTTTAATTTTCAGATGATTTTATTCAACTACTTTCTTCTCAATAGTTTTTTCTGCACACGGGTTGGTTCACCCTAACTTATTCCTGAAATCGTACTGGAGGCCAGCCGGGAAAACGACAGGATAGAGTCGCGATTTTTACATTCAGTATGTTTTAAGAGGGTTTTGTGCATGAATGGATATCTGAAGACTTTTCAAAGCCATTTATTTTAAACTGACAGTGAACAGACTCACTGATTGAGTTCTTGTCAGTGATCAGGGACTGGGTCAATGAATGTTCAACAGTCTATAATTTGTGTCATTTCTGAGTATTTTTCTGTTTTTTTCAGTCTTTATAATAGAAAATATCTAAGGTCATGCAACTCCATGAACACTGATAAATGATTAACGGTTAGGACCTGAACTGACGTGAAGTACCATCAATGTTTCACCTTGATCTAAATTTTTACATCTAATTATCTGACATTTTGCTTTACTCACTATTGTTCTGATTTCAATTAACGTCAGAAAGAAGAAACATTTTGTTTACGTTTGACCGTGAAACATGTTTAAAACTTTGTGTTTTTGTCTTTTAAACATTTAAAATGAGATCATAAGCTACAAGATTTTTTGTTTGAACTGAGTTTGCCTGCTGTTAGGATCTAATTTCCACCAAAACCATGTCACTTACCTTGAAGTGTCTGTGTTTTGAGCAAAGTTTGACTGTGAGATGTAACTTAACAAGAAGGATATTTCTGTACATATTACAACGTTTTATTCTCATGGCTAATTCTGGAGTAGGATAAACAAAAAGATATGTTTTCTGTTGTGTTGGTCTGGTACGTCTTGTTATCTTCTGCAAGCTAACAAACAGTAGTAAGTCAGAGTTTAAAAAGTTAAGGAGTTGTTACGTCACAGTTAATATTTAAACCAAAACCATTATTTTTGCACTCAAAACTGACTCAGTCTGTAGTGTACATAGTCTCCAGTGTTTCTGTTTCTGCACCCGAACTCAAGAGGGCACTCAGAGAACTGCAGTTTTAAGCATTTAAACATCAGCTTCATTTCTCAAGACCAGAGTATGCTGCTTGGTGTCAGTGCGAACCAACAGGCCACAGATGTTTCTACACAGCAGAGACACTCTGCCAGGGGAAGCAGCCATGTGCCAGCTCTTTTTTTCAGGGAGCAATACACAACAGCTATTGTATAACAAAAAAACAAATACAAAAGGACATGCAGGGACATTTCCCACACTTGGAAAGCTGGCAACATCAGTGTTGGTCTATAGCTTTGTGTTACCACCAGTTATATCCAAAAAATACACTTTGTTTTGTTTTGTCTTAAGAAAATCTAAGTTTCTTTTAAACAACTGATTATTGACAGTTAATATATTCATAAATTGATCGTGAAGAATACTGTGAATTTGCATCCCTATATTAAAGATATATTAAAGTTACGGAGCCTCCTCTAACATACATCTTTATTTTTCTCATTCACACTATTCAAATTCACATTTTAATAAAAAGTAAAGTACAGTAAAAGATCCAACAACAACCTCTGAAAAGAACATTTATTCGAACATCCACAGATCTCTCTGCATCGTATTTCACCGCAGTTCGGGTGGTGTGTCTCTGTTCATAATGGATCATCATTAGCTTCATCTTTAATCGCTCCTGTGTAACCTGATACCTGCTTCAGGGCCCACGCTCAAATACTGCGGCCAGACAGGAATAGTAATGACTGCAAATTTATGAAAAGAACACTCGCTCATGGCCTGTAATAAATACTTCATAATACCTTTTGATTCAATTAGTCCTTTTCAGCCAGCTCTGGAAACACTCTTCAAAAATTCATGAGGTTTCAGATTGACTGTTGTTTCTCTTGTTAAATAATTTTGCCAATTCACACCGTTCCACTTTTTTTTGAGAGCTCAGATTTCTTCTAAGAGGCACCCGTCTCTCATCAGATTTGCTTTTTTGAAGAAAGCCAATTTTCAAAAACTCAACACTCTGCCTAATGCGTGTCGACTGTCATTCTTAAAGGATGACGCTCTCAGTGTAACAGATGCAATCTTGACGAAAAACTGACAAGACGCGCGCAGAAAAGGGATATACGTATACGCGGAGCATGAATTTAACAGAACTTCTAATCCTGTTTTATTAATTGACACCACTGTAGAAGTCAAACCCCGCTCTGACACTGTGAATATCAGCCTCACAAAGACAAAGCCACACACACACACACATACACACACACACACACACACATACACACACATCTCGTGCTTCACTAGCGTGGCATGCTGGGCCGGCTCATTACTACAATGCCAAGCTACTAGTTGCTAAGGAGACCTTAGGGAGAGGGAGGGTTCCTGTTGCCATGGCAGCAAGCCTGCATCCTGCCAACTGTCTTCCCCCGTGAGACATGACCATCGTAGACGGGGAGAGAAAAAGACTGGGAGGAAAAGTGAGGGCAGAGCGGAGCGAGGAGAGAAAGGCTGGAGGGGGTTACGGTTAAGATGTTGAAAGAGGAGGACTTGTAAAGATGCCCGCGAGGCGTTCGAGAACCACAGAGACTGTAGGAATAATGCACAGGGAAAATTGATGGGGTGAGAGCAGAAGAAGAAGGAGAAGAAAAAAAAAAGCCCCCATTTTCAAAAGGCATGCAGCAGCTTTCCCATGGCTAACATGCTATCTGCCATGTCGACCACAACTAGATCAAGGCGGTGACAAAGACACAAAAATGACATTAAGTACCCCGAACCAAACCCCTTAAATGTCATGCATGTCCCCGACTGAACCGACCGCCTCACAGCTTTTACTACACCAGCAGAAGATCTGACAGAGCTTTTTGGACGAGCACTCACAGAAAGCCATCCGTCATGGAAAGAAATCTGCTTTGGTGTGAGTGAGCGGTAATGAACGACGGATGGGAAAGGAGAGAGAGAGGGAGGGAGGGAAAGAGAGAGAGAGAGAGCATCTGGGAGGGATGAGCAGAGAGAGATTAAACTGATCAGGGAGCGCAGAAGAAGAAGGGCGAGGAAGTCATTCAAGGCGAAGTAGAGAGAAGAAGAAGTCCTCAGTCTCAAATTCAAATTAGCCTTATGGGTTTCCAAGGACACTGAGTTTCCACCCTCCATTTCTTTCACTGTGTCAGTGTCTCAACTCTCGCTCCCTCCTTCCCATGTCTCCTTTCTTTCCTTCTATTTCCCTGACTTCATTGACTCTTATTAAATCATTCCTTTCATTGCTGAGAAGTGGTTTGTCACACTGAGGTGTATACGTGTGTCTAGGGAGCTATTGTAGCAGAGATGCTACATATAAACACCTTCAACTCCAAACTATCATCAACCTCAGTCCTTCTAGAGTTCTGACCCGAGCCCGGCTGCATATCTGAGGTGTTCTGGTCCATTCTCAAATGTCATGTATTCAGAGTATCTCCTCTGGTGTTACACAATTTTCAGCGTTGTTATTGAATGATTCGGCTAAATCTTGTGAAACATGTCCAGTTAGGAACAAGATTAGCTGAACGTTAGCAACATTTGGTTAAACTAAAAGAAGTTAGTGACAGTGCTTGCTACATGGGTAGCCACTGACAGCAGGCATGTCAACTCTGTGGAAGACCAGGTGTAAAAGACTTCCTCGGGTTGTGACCAGTTACGGTTCTTACAGTTGCGAACAGGAACTTCATGAGACAAAGAAGAGAAATACCCGGAATTTCCACTGTATCCGGAACGGCTCCGATCCAGGACAGCTGCAATTTTCGCTGTACGCCAATGCCTACTGGATCCGTTTGTGAGGCGAATTTCATGGCGGATTATGGACAGCAGGAATCACGAGAACTAACAAGAACCTGCAGATTCATGTGCAATCGCGCGATAACACTTCTAGACTTATAGAGTCAGCATCTCCTCATCCAAGGTGTCATTGATATAAAATGCTGAATATAGACCTTTCACTTGTTCGTCCCCTCCCATTTGCATGGTGTAGAATACAATCCACCTGAAACATGGAGTGTTTTATTTTGAAAAGAAGCTGGGTGTTTTATTTTGTATCTGTGCCCAACTTTCTTTCCAGCACGGACTAATCTGAGCTGAATTTATCCCACATTCTCCGGCATCCAGAAAAAACAGAACTCTTGCGATCAACTGCGGAGTCCGGCAATCCGCAGCAGAACGGAAATTGACACATTGACTTGAATGGCTACGATCAGATACGATCAGCGGATACGGCCTTTTTGTAGCCGTTCCCAGATGCGGTGGAAACTGCCAGTTAAACTGGAATTCCTCAGAAGTGTAAATGCTGTGGCACTGAACTTGGAATCACCTGATGTAAAAAAAACTCCACATTAGACTTTTTTTTCTCATTTACTCCCACATAATTCTTAATAAGGTACAGTACTCTGCAGTCTGACGGTATAAAATCTGTCACTCTTTTTGGAAATCATGGACGCCTTGGACCCCTCAGCTTGCAAAAGTGCCCATGGCATAGGTAGCTTATATGTCAGGGGAGGAACTGTTGATGCTGAACGATATATTCAGGCTTTGACACAACATGAGCTGCCATCCAGACTATGTCCTCTGTAAGATATATCTGACACATTTCAACAAGACAATGCCAAACCATTTGTAATAACAGCATGACTCCAAACAGCACGCAATGGCAAGAAGCTAAGATCAGATCCTCAACCAGGTATCTATGTGTCTACATCTATACCTGTCCAAAATGCCCAAAATGTTTCCATTCAACCTCAGCTCTTACACAGGTACAAATCTCTCATTCTTTGGGTACAAAACAGGAATGGAAAGGGTCCCCATGAATATCCATTATATCCACAGGTTACTTTAAATCTGCGTTCTCTTGCTCAAGTTGTCTATCCTCGTCATAGATGCTCTTAGTGATGGGAATTGAGGCTCTTCTAGTGATCCAGATCATTTGGCTCAGCATGAAGAAGCTCCTTTAGCTCCCAAACAGCCCTTCGTAGTGTCATTCATGTACATGATTTACAGATGTGTTCCCAGCTTTGCCACATCCCCTGCTGTAAAAGGCTTTTGTACCAGAAGCCTCAAATCTTCTGTCAGTTGGAATACAGTATTTGGAAACCGGAGGGATCCTGTCCTTCTGAAAAGTACCATAAATTGTCCTTTCATAAATTGACAACATTTTGACTGATGCTATGCATGTATTTTATAGCGGTATTGACATTTTTTCTATACCAAACCATATTTCTATCTTCTTATTGTTAAAAAAAGAGAGAAAATTGGGGTCTTAGGTTTCCTTCAAACAACAGTTTCGTGTTCGTGAAAACCGATGGGGTTCAGTTGGGTTCATCTGGGTTTATTCGGGTTTGCGTTTGAGGCCTGCGCTGCTATTCCCACATAGTTTTGCTTCCAACAAAATTTTCTTGCAACGTGCAAACACGCTGTAACTGTCCCAACCAATTCAAAGTGCTCCTCTGCCTCGCTCTGGTTTTGATCACTCTTCATCTCTTCTTCCTCTCCCTCAGTCTGTTTCTCATTGTGAGGGTATGTGGCGTCTGTCTCATTGTCACAGACGCTGGGAAACAAGAAGCTTCATCACACTCATCCTCATCTGATGCTCTGCTCTCCCTCCCCTTCACTGCGTATCTCTCTTTCTCTTACACACACACATGCGCACACACACACACACACACACACACACACAGTGCACAGACATGGCTTTATTGACTTATTCATGCATGGGTTTGTTTCGGGGGCAGAGCTCCTGTCTGCCAGTCTGACAGACACCCCGTGAACCCTCGAGACTCCCCTCCTTTTCTTTCTCTACACACACACACACACACACACAGACACACACAGACACACACATTATCTCGTTCTAAACCCCTCACCCCCCACTCCTCACCCTTTTGCCCCCCTAACCGAAGCATGGCACAGGGAGTACTCGTAGAGCAATCGCGAGTTCACTCAGGTTTCTCCTCCATCGTTTCCCGCCTCCTCTGTCGTTTCCCTCCCTTCTTCACTTTCTACTTCTCTTTTCTCTTCTCCGATGGGGAGAAGGGGAAGGTATGCCCACATTTCCCAGAACAAAGACAGCCCAATTAAGTCAGTTTGAGTTAAGGTCTTTGTGGCAGAGAAGGATCGGAAAAGCGAGAAGCGGCAGCGGCGGCGGAGGAGCGAACGACGAAGAGAGGGGAAGAGAGAGAGAGAGCTTAACGAAGAGGGAAAAGAGGGGGTAAAAGTAGAAGACGAGAAGAAAAAAAAAAGAGGAGCGAGAGTCACTTTGTAGCGGAAGCGGGTTGACTTCGTTTTTAGCTCCTCAATGGGAGACTATGAAATATTAATAACTGCTCCAGCCATATACTTCAGAGGCCTATGGTAAAACTTAAAGTCTAATGAGACGCCGCTCATGAATTGCTAATGGAGATGCTGGAATGTGTGTTTTTTGTGTGAGTTTGAGCGTCTGCACATGTGTGTATGTGCGAGTGAAGGGGGGGGGGGGTCAAGCTGGTAGCTGAGGGGTGGAGTATTGCAGAGCGTTCAGTCTTTCAAAGAGTCGACAAGAAACTTCATTAGAGGCTTGAAGTTGTTCCCACCGCACATCTAAGCAGCGTCGCGTTTCGCTGAACCGAGAACTAACTTCACTGTTGTCGACGGTCCAACCGTAGCTAACAGAGTTCGAAACTGTCCTGTTAATTGAAACAAAATGGAAATTGGTTTCATTTTTCTTTATGTTGAGGGTGTTTTTGCGAGTGTCAATCTTTAGTAACGGCTCCTCTCTTTGAGTTATGGAAAGCCTTGAATGCATGTTTGAAGGGCAGAAAGTGCCAGAAGTTTCTGCTAGGATGTTATTCTCCCTCCATGTTGCCCTTCACCAACCAGGATTTCATCATGCTGCTTACACACGCCTAATGAGGGAGTGCAATTGTGTAATAGTGTGTAAAAGAGAGATATCCATAAACTTAAAAAAAAAAAAAACTTTACCATGTGCAATAAAAAAATGATAATGAAGCCATGACTACTTGCAGATCAGTGTCAAGTATTTCATGTTCTGGAGTTGTGAATCCAGACAGGATTATCAGATTATAAGGACCTACATATGTAAAAGTACTGCACTGATATGAGTATAATAGTGTTTCCACCAAGCAGTCCCCTTTGGCAAAGTACAGTGCAGAGAGCTTACCGATGTTTTATGCCAGTTGTGTGCAGATCTTGACCAAAATATATGGGAAAAATGGTCAACTGTGGGATTAATTTGTTATATTTTTTACAAGCATGAAAAATATTGAATAGATGTACCGTAATTTTTCGGCGATAAGGCGCACTGTGAATTGACGTGTCTATGTTTACACATAAGGCGCACCAGATTGTAAGGCTCATTAAGCATTGATTGGTTTATTGTTGCTTGCGCATACGCCGGGTCCAGGCTGCCTTTCATGAATGCACTTTTAGTTTAGACATTCCAGTCAGGCAGTCCTGTAGGCTTCTCAGGGGTCCTGTTACGGGCCGATCAGGTCGTGATACAACATACTGTAATGCTCCGAATATCCATTGAGCGGAGTGGCTTCGTCGCTTACCGAAGTTGTACTTACATATTTCGACAGATTTTTGAGCGCATTGTCCCTCATAAAGTCGACAGTAAGCACAACAAGTAATGATACATAAGGCGCGCTGGATTATAAGGCGCAGTGTCAATTTTTGAGGAAATTTAAGGATTTTACGTGCGCCCTATAGTCCGAAAAATACATAACAAACAAACTCCTTTTAAAGCAAATCAGCTTTATCTGCAGAAAGACTCCCAATGTTTCCACACTACTCTTTTATTCCGACAGTTATATGGTAAAAGAAGTCACTTACAAACATCTTTATTTTGCCTATGATGAAGTTGTATTTGCTGTTTCCTGATAAGACGGATATCTAAAGGGTTTGTGCTGCGGGCTACCATCTAATGCCCGCCAATACTACCAAAACGATCTCAATCTTTCTTAGTCAATCTGACTGACTTTCAGCATGCTGGAGATATGAGGCAACTTTGTAGATAAAATCTTACAAGTGATAGAATTTCAAAATATCAAATTCAACATAGCTGTTTTGATTACACTGATTTATACTCACTTAGAAAAACTAGAGCGTTGATAAAACCCAAATACTTTTTAACAAGCAAGAGGGTTTTTATGGTTCTGCAGAAAAAAACTAATTAATTACAAATATGCAGAAAGTTTATTTTGATCGCATCAAATAATTTATATCTGCAGACTTGATGGCCCATTATACTCTGAAAAAGTTATGAGCATTAATTAATAACTTGACCATTATTACTCTGTGACTAACAAGAGAGACTCGGCCTGACAAACATGAAGTTGGTCTTCACACTGGATTAAAACTTACCTTTACGGTTAAATCTATTGTTGTGTATAAGTAAAAGCTTTTATTCTAAAGAGTAAAGCATGAATAAATAATGATTCTTCCTTCAAACGCTTTGAATTGGCATAAAATAACAGAATTTATGCTCTGTAATAGTCTATAACTGCCTCATATTTGGTCTCCAGCCCAGATATTTCTTACAGCACTGAAGTACCTGGCCACATCTCCTGATCTAATCAGTGCTGGAGCCGGCAGGCCTCATAGAGCCTTGCGTAACCCCGGCTGAGTGTAATGGCAGGGCTGAGCCATCAGCTGGGGGATTGAGGGCTGTGTGCAGGCGGGGACCGAGGGGAGCCCAGGGGTGTCGCCCTGCATCTGAGTGCTGCTTAGTGACCTCATTTCTTACCTCCCTGAAAGTCCCCTGGCAGACCGCTGATGCTGAGAGGCTGAGACGGGACTGTGCAGAGCGCACTTCAGATATATCGCTGTTTTATTACAAATCAAATAGGAATAAGTCATAAAGTGATATATAATGGATTGATTGTAGAGCGGATCAATACCACGCAGGCTGTCCATGAGAATAAATTACCCTGCATTGATTCAAATAAGCTATTTTGATCAGATATCCATATGCACGACTGTTTATTGTTGGTAGGAGTTAATTAAGAGGAAGAGCAGAGGGAGAATACTGGGAAAGAGAGAGCGCTAATTAAAGAATAGAGAGATTTTGTTTTCTTTCTTTTCGTCAAAAAGTGGGAAACACCCACAAGCTGCAATTTGGAGGTGATATTAAATGTGTGAAGTGGTGACAATCATTCCTGAACACAACAAAACAGATTTCTGCCTTATCCTAAATTGGCTAATATGAGCATAAATGATTCTTAGTGTTTAGGAAAAAATCTCCCCGTAGCAGCAGAGTTTGAAAATGTTTGGATCAGAGTTGACAGCTGAAAGTGAAGTGGGTCCTTGAGTCGAATCGTCGAGTGAATTCAAAGTGAGATTTTAAAAGGTGTAATGAAATGTGAGAAAGCGGCTACGTTTTATACTTTTTTTGTTAATTTTCCTAATGAAAACGCAGAAATACGTAGTGTCAGATAATATTTCACGCGGTAAGATGAATTTGTATTGATCCCTGGAGTGAAAATCAAGCTTAAGCTAAAGATGCATATACAGTCAAAAATAATGCTGGAAGCAGTGATACCCAAGATGGTGTATTCACTGCATGAAAAAACTACAATACAGACATGTTCAGATGCTTAATTTATCCCACTTTCCCTTCCTTTCTTATAAAGAACAAGAAAAGCAAAGACCCCTTTGTCCACAGGGGGCAGCAAAATTGTCTCAAACTGAAATTTCCTCACAGGAACTTTAAGTAAAATTTGTTTCTTACTTCTCTAATTTCCCACCAGTGTATTCTGCGGCCATTATCAGTGAATTATGAGTAGTATTTTTAACTTCTACAGTTAATAAAGATGATAACACTGATTTTCATAACATACATTTATTGAAATAAACACATTTATGACTCACACAAGGTGCACATGCATCTAAACAAATTTATATAAACTTCATACAGTTGCTTTGAGTACTTCTGGTTCTAGTCACTCACTCTCCAGCAAAAGGGACAAGTTAGCATGACATGATGCTAACATGTAAGGGTGCAACTGTCATATAGTGTGCTATTGATTAAGTATTTTAGGTGCTTTAATGAAATATCATGAGAAACCGTACGATGAGGAGGATGGGAAAGGGTGATAGCAACCAGTAGAAAGTCCAAAAAATTGTGGTTCACCAAGGAGTTAAGTTTAGAAGTCATAGTATGGCATGTACGCAATCTTTGTTTTTGTTTGTTTTTTGCCTTTTTTTTTGTCCCATCTTTCATCCTTTTTTTCTAACATTCTTGATGTCACACAGGTAGCACTTATGTTTCACACAAGCATGCCTTTAGACTAAACTTAAACTGAAGCTTCTGGGATATGAACTCAATCATAATATTTAATGACATTGCTGTAGAGTGGATAAGAGTTAGTCGTATGGGTTTGTTTTGTGTCTTTATTTTGTTAGCAGTGTGATTTTTATTTTGGCCCTTTGTAGCAAATCATCAAAAAGTTATTAATTATTCTTCTTCCCTGAAGTAATGCCAGGTAATAAGCTTGAGCTAAGGCTGCACCAAATTAATGAGGAAAATTATAATTTTTACAGTCAGGATGTGACAATAAATCAAAAGGAGTTTCCTCCAGTCATTACATAATTAATAGATTATTGATTATATTTTTCCTTAGCATAATGTATTTTCACATAAAGCCTTTTTAATTAGAAAACATCAATAGTCGAGGACTTGGTGGTTCAGTGTGTTTTATTTTTTTCCAGCTGACATTGTATTGAGGTAAAGAAAAGCAGCAAATCTTTAAACTGGAACTACCTCATATCGCTCCCTCTCAGTTTTCAGCTAATCAATAAACTTTTTAAGCACTTATATTAAAGTAAACTTAAGAAACTAAGATGCAAACTATGTGTTATCAGTGCAAAGCTGTGTCTGTAAAGCTGTATCAAAGAGAGATTTGACAGAAATGGCACCACTTCCTCAACAGACATTTATCATGTCAAACCTGCACCATCATTCATATAACTACTACATCCACAACTCTTTTTATGACTTTATTTCTTTATTTAAACTTTTCTGCCTCAAGCAAGCAAAAAACTAGTTTGTGTCAGAGTGGAAATTTCACTGAAATGTGCCACTTTCCATTCAGCCTGTCTAATTCAATATGTCATCATTTGCATAAAAATGCATGGATAGAAAGTCAGCTGCTCCATGAGGGTGCTACAGAAAGTGGGGATGTGTGCTATACTGCGCTTCTGTTGTTTGTGTGTTTGTCCTCTGCTCTACATATATGTTTAGTGACATGTGAGTGAACAAATGGGCGTGATTTGTTAATGCATATCTATCCGTCTCACTGTGAGTGCTTACGCAAGCTGGCGTGCATGTGGCATGTGTGTCACACATGCATAGCAAATATGTAGCATTAGGATGTGTAGAAGTTCATTACTTTGTGTGTGTGTGTGTGTGTGTGTGTGTGTGTGTGTGTGTGTGTGTAGGGGAGGAGGGGTGCAGCCTTTCCGCATGAGTGGGGCTGTCAGTGGGCATCAGTCAGCCAGGCAGCGACAGGCGGAGCAGATCATTAGCAGAGACGGAGAGCGAAAGGGGAAGAGAGGGAAAGGGAGTAAGGGGAAGTTAAGAGAGAGAGAGAGAGAGAGAGGGGGGACGGAGTGAAGGCCTCGGTTAGAGCTGCGTCTTTAATATCCATCTTACGAGAATTACATACACAAGCGCGCGCCTGCGCACGGCTCGGTCACGCAACCACACTCTCCTGTCCTCCCGTGTCCTCCCATCAGCTCCATTACTGTTGCCATCACGCCTGTCAATACCTCCACAGTGAACATGGTTTATTATGATAGTCGATATCCTTTTAATGCAGCATCATGGGACATTAGAGCCGAAGTCAACTAAAACATGTGACTTTATATTTATACTACAAGATACAGTGGTGGTTTAACAATGAAATTAGTGAAGGAGATCTAAGTGAGGCTGACGTCTTCTCATCAAACAATGAAAATAAACATGCATGCATCCAAAGAGGGACAATGAAGCGTCTGCATCACACCTGTGCTTCTGTACCCTCTAGCATTGGTCTTACACTATGTGAAATAAGTCTGAAAATGACTGATTTATTTTCCAGACTAGGCTGAGAGTACACTTGTACCTCCTTAATCATCTGTGTTACCTTTTATAAGTTAACCTTTAACACAAATGTTAAATTAAAAGATTATCATCATAACCTATAGCTTTAACTATAATTAGATTTCTTAGATCATTTTGCATCACTGTAGGAATTCAGCACTCTGGCAGGAGAAATCTATGCTGAGCTAGGGGCATGCAAGTCTCCATCAGGAATAACTTAGCCCTTAAAGACAGCTGTTGTTCATGAATGACACTATGAAGAGTCATTTGTCATCCTAGAAAGGCCCTTCCAGCTGAGTCAAATGATCTGGAGCTCTAAAAATAGCCTGAATTCCCATCTTCTTTGGCATTTTCATTGAGGTTAAAAAATGGGTTTAACATCAAGATGGATCACAGACAACTCGAGCAGAAGCAAAAGAGATTTGAGCAATCAAATTTCAACAGGGTATAATGTTAACGTTAACTTCCTCAAACTTTTTAAATTAAATGGGTTCACTGTTATCAAAGTCTCTGTTAATGGATGAGTGGCAAATATGTTTTCTATTTACTGTGCCTACCTCTGTATAAAACAGAGGAAAGAAAGAAAACCAGATTATCAGTAACCAGACTGACAATTTCCATAAACTAACTTGGGACATCTGTTATAGCTAGACAAAGATTGGGTTCTGGTTAAATGAATTATAGCCGAGAGACTGAGAAAAGTTACAGTAGTAGGTAGTCCAGTGAAATAAACGCATAATATGATTTTATCAGGACATTTAACACACATACAAGGCATAAGCAAAATAAGGCAAACGAAACACCTGCTTAGGGCCTCGCGACCAATAGGGGGCCCCCAAGAGCAATCAAAAGAAAATATATATTTCTATTTTTTGCATGTATGAGTGATGCTTTCTGTACAATCAAATATATATTATTGTGAAAATAAAATAAAGTAAAAATATTTTAGTAGGCCTATGTCTCTTACTGCCAATATGTCAAAGCTCCGCTACTGTTATGTGCCTTCTGCTGTGTAATGTGCACTGAGCATCCAAAGCGAAGGTAGTTGTGGAACAAAACAATGTCGCAAAAAAATATCCTTCGGGAGCAGAGAAAAGAAAGAGGAAGAAGAGAAAAAATGCCAAGATAACGGTATGTTTGCATGTCATGGAATGATAATCAAAGAGATTTGTGAAGAAGTGTGAATGATCAACAATCAATATTATCGGCAGAAATAGAGGGCCCCAAAATCAAATTTAGCTTAGGGCCCCATTGAGGCTTGGGCCGGCTCTGAAAACCAGTATGTCATGTACAATAACTACACAAATGTGCAAAGTTACTTCACAACACTGAACTTTTATTAAACTTGGTAAGAACTCAATAAATGACTGAGGCCTGTCCCTATTTTAGTCTGCTGGAGCAACCTTACCCACAACCAATTAGACATGGCAGAGAGCGCTCACCGGGCCTAATTACAAAACCAACCTGTCACCCTGTTAATTGTTTTGGAAAATACCTGAAAAAGAAGTGTGATATTCAGTTTAGCTCATTAGCTAAACGGAGATATGAAGAGATGAGAAAATAAGCATTTTTGTTTGTTTCGATCAAATGTCACATGAGAACTTATTATCACGTGTTCTCATATAAATTAGCTGAAATAAACTCTCACCTCAAGCATGTGTTTGGCAACACCTAGCTACACATGACAACCTGCCGCTAACTTTGACAGCCCTGTCTTGGAGTCAGTTTTTCACAAGCTTCTCAGTAACTAGCTCCAGTCGATACCCGTCCTCCCCTGTGTACTGAGTATGTGAAGACCTTGTTTAATTCCCCCGCTCTCCTCCACATCTCAGCTGCTTTGCATTTTGCCCTTTCATCGTTCGCCGGCTGGGCTCATAACTCATCTTTTAGTGCTGCATCTTGTGGTGACCACCTTCCACTCAACAACACCATTACACAGGCAGATTAATGCTGCTATTAAATCTGCACATCGACTTCGGTGGCACTCATCAAAGACAGTATATATGACTAGCGGTATCAAGGATTTGATGAAGTCAGACTTTCAGAGGAACAATAAATCAGCAAGTGAGGTGCAGCCCAACACCTCATATATAGGGTAGAGGCTGAGAGAAGAAGAGGAGGATGCTGGGAAAATAAGTTTTGCTGATCATGAACCTGAAAACAAGTGTACAGCTATGTGCAAACATTAAACTTACATACTTCTATAAGTGCGGCAAAGTCCTCTGTGAAAGTAAACAGACATTATGACGCTCATTACAGTATGTTATTAGCATGGCCGGATTAACCTCTTAAGAAGCCCAGGGGCAAGAAAAATCCTTAGCACTTGATGATCCCCAGCGTGCCACTTTAAGTGAATTATGTACTTCACACCCAAGCCTCCCAATACCGAGCTTGGTCAGAGGCCCATATTGTGACAATGTACGTTACCCTCTTGTGCCAGTGCTGAAGTCAGAAAGCAAAGTATGAAGACCCTGTGGTCAAGAAAAACGATGAAGTCATGCAAAGACTTAAAACCACCAAAATAATGTTCTCAGGGAGCTTTTTTGTTACAGCTCTATTAACATATTCACAAAACTCTGGAAAAATTCCAGCATCATTCAGAGTCGACTGTATATGTGAATGCAAACAGCCCACCCAGACTTTACCTGGATTTTTCCTGCCAGATCCCAAGCTAAAGTTCAACAGCAAATCAGGGTGAGTGGAAAAGAAATCAAGCAAAAAATTTGTCAAAATTTTCTCAATTTTAGAGATAGTCACATACTTTTTGAATATTTGATTCCTTTGCTTGAAGATTGTCTCATTTTTTTTTCCTTTTTCAGAGACCTCTAAACTGACAAATATTACCACAGACTGTTAGGGTGATTTTCTTTACCCAGCCATGCCAGCCTTTAGTTTGGTTGAGCTGTGTCACTCAAATACCTTGGAATACTTTTTGGATTTGGATTTCTGGAGCAATGGGCCTCCAACAACCATCCCCAACAAGGACCTTGTACCCATGTCTAACATCGCTCAGGCTCCCAAAATATGTTGTGCTTTGTTATTACCCTACATGGACTCTCCTTCAGGTCAACAAGATGCAAGCAGAATGTTTGGAAACGTGGATAACAATATATACTTGAAAGGTCTCAGACCAGTCTTTGTTACACTTGTGGCATGATGAAGCTGTTACCAAAATCTGCGACCAGTTAAGCTTGTCAAAATGATCATTCGTGTGAACCTTCCACAGCCCCAAGTTTCATAGTCTGTATTGTGCTACTGGAGGACGAAGTTTGTGTGGTGGAAATAAATAATTCCACTGTCAAACCTGGCTCCTCCTGTAGTCCTCTTGTTGACCCGTGACGGTTCCTCAACTCTACTTTGACAAAGCTTGGCATAAATGAAAAGCTCAATCACAGGTTGAGGCCTTACAATGAAAAATAACAACAAAAAAAGGTTTTTAAAATCTAAAAGAGAGGCATGACTCACTGGGTTCACTCTTTCAATGGTTTCTTACCACTCTTGACAGCTTCAAACAGTCTTTTGTGACACAAAACGCACCATTATTGCTCATACCTTTTAGTTACATGGCCTTCTTGTGCACCTCTGTAGCAGCATGCTGTGCTACCTCTGTGGCCTATTGAAAATTATCAACAGCCTGAAGTGCAAAAGGCTTTTGTTGAGTCGCCACTGACCGCCTTAACCCAGCGTCTTTTTGCTTCTAGTTGCTTGTTGTAACAGCGAGCTCTTTTCTTTCTGTCGGTTTATCCATATTTTTATCGATAATTCCAGTGAGCCACCAGTTTACAATAACAGGATTTGCCACTTTGGAATGGGTATATCTACACTTGTAACTTCACAGACAATGAATAGTAAATGATGACTACTTCCACAGACACAGCTACACATAGTCTTGGTTTTCTGCTGGTAATTGCAACTTAAAGCCCATCCAGGGAAAATTTGGTTGTTTTTTCTGAAAAAAGGTGACCCTTTCACGAGGCGTACAATGGAACAAAAAAAGTAGATAAGGGAGATTGGGCCAGAACAACCAGAGTTACCAATTCAGCAGCAGCCAGGTGACAAGAACAAACACACAGAGATGGTTTTGAATGACTGGATGTGGTGAATGTAATACCATCACTGTTGCAATTCTGGACAAAAAATGGCCTAAAAAAATTGATGGAAAAAGTAATACAGCAATATCATTTATTTTGGTGCCATTATGAAAACAACAAGAATTTTTACAACACATTTTTCTATTACAGACCAGACCAACAGAATATGTAAAAACATGTGCAATACTTGTTCAGAATTGCTCTAACAGAGTGTGTCACAAAGTGTGAAAACTAAAGTAATGAAATTGTGTATATTGGCCTCAACTCATAGTTCCTACTCCTATCTTCTCACGACACCTTGGTACTGGAGACAAAAAGCAGCTTTGATTCACCTCTCAGTTGGCACGAACGAACTGAAGTTAGCTTGAGCTTCATCTGACTCAGTGTGACAATATGGTGATTACAGACGGCCGCCATCCAAAGGTATTCTGACTAAAAAAACATTAATCATTGATTTGCGTTCATCTATTGAATTTATTGTAATGCAGTTTGACTTTTATAATAAGTTTCTTATGCAAATGCAAATGAAACTGCAGTATTGGTTATGAAGCGCCTGGGCCGTTTGTCTTCTCTACAACTACACCCCCTCAAATATTTATCTCACCAGCCGCCACTGTTTGAATTATAGGATGTCCCAGCTAATATGAGACAGTCTGCAGTCTTCCATTCACATAGGTCTCTTTGGAGCACCCTTAAACAAAGCTTAGTAGTGGCAGTGAAGGAAAGTCATGATCATTTTCATTATACATTTGATGGTCCATCTTTCAAGGCAACTAGGCTAGTTCTTGTTGACTTGTAAACTACGCTGTCAGCAACCCGCATCCAGAGTAGCATTAGCTTTGTTTTCAAATCAGCTGCTGGCTAATACCCAAGTAAGACAGCCAACCTCTCTCTGAGTGTTTCGAAGGCTACGAAACAACCTTTGTCAGTTTGGGTAATCTCATTGGACACAGATCAACCTTATCAGAAAATTCACTTAACCGAATTGACCTCGCAGCAGTCTCTTCACTCATCTGTTCTTCTTGTTAGCTCTGTATTTGCCCATTATTTGTGCAGCCAGTTCCCCACATGAGGCTAGAGGAGGTAGCGGTGACTCAATTGAACAGCCTCAGATGCAGCTAAAGTGGCTCATCTGTAAGTGAATTCACCTTTAAGAGAGTCATCTTTAAAGCACGGCAGTCATGAGAGATGAGGGCGTGCTCTGTGGGAGAATAATAAATCAAGCCTTTCTAGTGGTGACCAAACATACTGTGGACCTTATGCTAAGCTAGGTCACTGCTGGCCACGGCTGAAATATTATCCTCATAAAACTTTGCAGCACATCTATTTTCTCTCTGGAAAGCGAGACTACAAGACTCAAAAGTACTTCTAAATCTAATAAATTCTACCAGACGCAGACAATCATGGATTTAAGTGCAATTTCTGTGCAGGAGTGGGCTTAATCTACAGCCACAGATTTGAATGTCTCTACGTTAGCTGGAAGCGATGGAAGCCAAGGCAAGGACGGAGACAGAGAATGACAGGACAGAGTTGAGATTACACAGGAGTGGAGGAAGGCAAAGGGGTGGTGCTGATGGGAGTGGGGGGGGGGGGGCACAGAGAGGAGTCTGGAGTTCATTCAAGGCTAGCTGTCGTCAGGCTCGGCGTCAGTCGTCACATGGGCAGAATGCTAAACGCCGAGCTCTGAATCCTGACCTATTTTCATCAATCTGACACAGAAATCCACAGAGAGGCCGTCTTACACTGCTAACCTTTGTTTGCCTCCTGGACTACCCTTAGAAAGCTGTCACACACACACACACACTCACTTACACACACACACAAATCTGCTTACCAGTGACCGAAAGCAATTTAATGATTTTTGATTAATAATCTCCAAAACAACTAGATTGTAAGTGATTTCCACTCAGCTCCAGCTTGAAAGGCTTTTATTGTAATTTGTCCAAATCTGCCGTTGGACTTATGAATATTCATGAAGTGAAAAAACTCTTCCCTGACCCGTCTTTGTGCTGACAATAGACAGTAGGCATGTTCTTTTTCTGTGTAGGCGCTGAACTTGACATCGTTAGCAGACACCTTCCCGAGTGTGGCAACTGCTCGAAACAGACTTCTCACAAAGACGGCGAGCAGAGAACTCTGGTTAAAACACGGGAAATGATCTGCTCTTAAGGCACTAATGGCTTTCATTTTTAACTGGCTTTTATCAACTCTGATCAAAGTGCAATTACAGACATCTTTAATGAAAATGGATCCAATTGCCAGCAAATGACTGTGACTTGATTGATTCTGAACATCACCTGAACATGATTGAACTACACTGAGAATAATGGTTTCAATGGTGATTGATAGCACTGTACTGTTAAATGATGAAGAGTAGCTTTGAAACCATGTCCTGCAACAACAAGGTTACCTTTCCCTCAATACATACAGTCATTTCAACCAGAGCAGAAAATATTCTTTCCTAATTTCTTCTGAATGTTTGTAGTTCCATACCTAACCACTTTTAACTTTTAGATTTGCTTGTTTAATCTGAAATATATATTTTTTAATTTACAAAATTGTGTAGCAGTTTTTATTTCTACCTGCTAAACCACAAAATTTTCAGTCTATACTGTTAATATTTGACAATAGATGAGACCTCTGCATTGTTATGTAAGGTCAAAACCATAGACTGTATATACTATGGACAACTTGGCTCCGCCTTCCGACAGTAGACAGATTTGAAGCCAAAAAGCTCTCAGTATTTCCGCGATTTTTCTCCATGTCCTGAAACCAACATTGCGCAGTAGCGCTGAACGCACTTCATCACTTGCGTAGTAGCGTTGTACGCATTGGATGGGACAGTCGCTGTGATGACACTCAGCTAAAACAGCGTATCCCCCAGGTGAGCTACGCAATCTTTGTATGCCCATAGGCTGTATCAGGTGTCAATCATAGAAAACAAGAACCCCCTAATAACTTTACAGTAACTAAATGTCAACATCGCAACCAGGGGGGAGAAAAGTTTATGTTCTGTGTGATAAATTTATAAAATTTGCCCACAGCTTCATAGGGATTGATGGAGGAGGCGGGATTTATGACCTATACTGCAGCCCGTCACTAGAGGGTGCTGTTCTCAGGGTGGCTTCACCCAGCAAGGAGGCAGACGGCGTCCATTCTATATACAGTCTATTGGTCGAATCCATGCAGATGCCACAGTTTTTACATCAACAACCTTATTGGCGCTTTGTAAAGTCTCATCTTATGTGGGACACAACTACAATTGTTGAAAAAGTGTGAATTAAATCTCAGCAACCAATGAAAAAAAATAATAAATCACTCATTTTCACCAGCCGCCTCCATCTGTCAACTATGTCAACCTTAGTAGTCAGGTTTTACTTTGGTAAAACCACTTTGTTTACAATGTCTTGAATTATTCCGTGAACATCATTCACCAATACACTTGTGATATTCAGAATAGTGTTCATTCAGGGAGGTCACGAAGTCAAACTCAGGTACATCAGCTGATCTCAACGCCAGCCAAGATCAGCTGATCCTCCTGTGTATCCAATAGGCAAATGTCAAATGGACTGTTACAAACGAAATTGCTTCTGGCTTGTTGTCCTCGCTTACACGTGTCTCCCTTCTCATCCACTGCAGTTATCCACTCCCAGCCCGTTATATAGTGCAACACCAAACAACTTTATTCCAAGGTGTACAAATAAAAAAATGATGCAGAAAGAAGAATGGGAACGGACACGGTTAGAAAACTATATGTCTCCAGGCTAGTCAGAGTCTCTCTAAGGCATTCTGCACACAGCCTGAACTTTCTTATAGAGACAGTGACCGTTAAATCCAGTAATAAAATAACAACACACTTTTGCCTTATACATGGACGCTCTGTTGTAACCTCCTCTTTTAGCTCTTCCTTTTTACGCTATGTCCATTTTTTTTGCCAGGCTTGGCTTTTTGAGTAAGGGAAAAGAAGGGCAGGGAACTCTCAGAACAAAGTCAATCTGACAAGTGTAACTTATTTCACGTGAATAATTGATTCTCTTTGACGTAAGTGTTCCTGACTGAAAGGGTTTTATTCAGCTACTATTACTTTTGAGAAATGTCATCACAACCAGTTCTGTCCTGCTTTCACTCAAAACACAATATGAGTTTTCTGACAGGTTGATGCTTCAACTGTGTTTTAACAAGTTAAAACGGACTGAATTCAGTCTTGGAAGTTTAAGTCTGATTTCATCCTGTTTACAACCGAATCTCCGCACCAAATCCCGTTTTGTGCTTATTGGGATATGTTGCAGTCCACAGCTAATTGTTGCAAATGCTTGTAAGAAATCTCAGCATTATAAAACAGCAAGAAGGCTGCAGGCTGGATGTTTGTTATTCACATTCACTTTCAAGGATACTCAACAAATCTTTAAAAATGTGCTTTAGGCATTTGTAAGTTGTGGCAGGTAAGTTCAAATAATATCATCTTTCTGCTGAGAGGTTTTACCCATGTAAGGATGGCAAACTGTGACTGAATTTCATCTGGATTATTCGGTAGAATCTCCCGTGGGAACTCCTACCTTCACTGTGAAATACCATGCCATTATTCAAACGCAACACAAGTAGGAAACAGCTCATCAAGTAGCAGTGTTTCTCTCACTTTTACACGCCCACCACTCCTCAAATCGACACAAAATTTGGGGTTGAGAAGCCGTGGCTTGGGTTGTCCAGTGCGGCACTGAGAGGTTCACACTCTCACAGAATTAATCACAGCATGCTGTCCTCTGACTGATTACCTCCCATCAATCTTAGTTTGCTTAGCCCTCCAACAGAAGAAAACCCTCGTGAAGATCTGATTAAAAATCTAAGCGACTCATAATAAGGAGTGCATGCCTGGCCTCGGAGTCGATACTCTGGGATAGTCATAAGCGCTGAGTGAGATTTATCTACTCATCTCCAAATGTCCGTTTTCACCTGCTCACGACGACCTGATCTCAGCGAGGGGAACTGCTGTGAAGAGGTGAGGTCTGGAAGAGAGGCGGTGGAGATCTGTGTGTGTGTGAGTGTGTGTGTGTGTGTGTGTGTGTGTGTGTGTGTGTGTGTGTGTGTGTGTGTGTGTGTGTGTGGTAGTCATTTGCAGCTGCAGACAGGAGGGGGAGTGACTTTGAGAGTGTCTGAGAGGCACATCCTGCCTGCAATTAAGGTGGAATCAGAGAGAGATCTGCGCTGCCTTGATAATGAGCCTCATCTGAATTATTAACTAGAGCTGTACCCCCCGGACCCGGACTCCCATCAGGCCTAGCTCCACAACAACAAGAGCAGATGCACACGCTCACAAACATATACACACAGAGAATCTTCAGATCCATACAAACCTCTATCAAACCCATTTTAGCGCATGCAGGAACTCAAAAACTAATCCCATTTGCAGTAAAAATCAGGGCAACACATTACTTGAAGTGGTGCTCATAAGGCATTATAAGGCATGGAAAGCCCATTATAAACACACTGTGAGTGCATGATGATTTATTAAAACTGGTGCATAGCATAATGAGTACAATATGCAGAAAGTTAGGGGGTTGAATACTTTATGAAGCAACTGTGTCATTAATCACATTAAAATTTAGAGCAATTTCAGATGCATGATTACATTATAACGCTTTTTTCTCTGATTCCAGTGGGATTATAATCACTTTGGTGCTGCTGTGATGGATGGATTGGGATTATCGGGATGACTGTACTTCAAAAGTAACTCTGTGAGTGATGTATATGTTTGTGGTGATGTGTGATGTACTTGTAAAATGTGAAGTCAGATGTTGATTACAGCGCACAGTTTATAAAGTTAACAACAGGGGATGTGTTTAATGGATAATGTATAGTGAGTAGGTTGTATGGACTGAAAACCACATGGCAACTACTTTTAAAAATCTATAGTTTAATTTGGAAATATCTTTATTATTTTGAAATTTATTATAGTTCCTTTTCGCTACAGTTAACCCTTCTTAACCCAACAATAACTATTTGCTTTTATTATTGTCATGAAAATTAATATTTCTACTGATGGTGAGGTCAGTCTAGGCGAACAGGACTGCATAAATCAGCACAACACTTGTATGAGTTTTTCTGCCTCTTCAGTTTGAGAGTCTCTGACAGTGGCTGCGTTTACATGCGGTCATTAACCTTTTCCATAACCAGAATATTAGCAATAACCCGGTTGTGCACGGCCCTGTAAACACCAATAACACCTTTGAAAATCAGGAATATGCTATGAACCCGAAAATCACCCCTGAGTTACTCCTGTTCTAACCCGAATACTTGGTCATGTAGACGCCTATCGGGATATCCTATCAAAAGAAATATTAATTTGTGTTCTGCGCATGTTCTGTTTGCGAGGAATCTCAGTCTTTTGAGTACAGGAAGTCCTAGATGCACATTGCGTCATGACCGTAGTGACGCATCATGAAATTAAAAAAATACTTCAAATATCTGTTGAATGTTTTTGTACTGACATTTGCTCACATGAAATTTTATCTTGATTAAGATACTAATTGTTGGTTTTTCTTAATCTTTTAATTTTTCTCTATTTGTATCTTCACTGTGCTGCTATAATTTTGGATTTTCCCCTTGTGGGACTATTAAAGGAACATCTTATCTTATCTCATCTTATTTAGTCGGATCAAAAAATTAAACCCAAGAAGAAACAATGTCTTTATCACCCATTAGTCTGCAACAGAGCTGCAGCTCTCATTCAATTTTATTGTGCTTAAAACTCATGTGAGGAGTTTTTGATGTTTCTGAAATAGACTTTGATTTAAATTGATGCCCATTTATCATGAAACAAAACAAACCAGACCTTTAGCGATGAGATTCTTTTATTTAATTTATTTTTTTGTGAGGGGGGGTAGGTGTTAACTGAGCAGCTACAGAAATAGCCCATTTTTTTAGGTTTTCAGATACGATATTCCCAATAATATAATAATATATTCACTGTCAGAGGTTAGGAAGACACTGTTAAGGCATGTCAAGGACAAGATAAACAAAGACCACTTTGACCACATGGGGCCCCAGAACTGACACTATCCAAAAGTTCCTTACAGGAGCTTTGAGAGAACACTACCGGTTATCTGTTATTAAATCAGTTTTACCAAACTGCGGCACGAGGCGAAATCTTTTTTTTCGAATTAAGCTGACTCTAGTGACCACTGACTAGAAATTTATCACAACTGAATGCAATTTCAACATTCAGGTATTACTGCATGACAAAAAAACATATATTTTTTTAATAATTATAATCACCAGAATACCCAAATCATTTTGTGTTTGTTATCTTATGATGAGCCTTTGATATCTACGTAGTAGCTGGTTGGCCTCAACCCTTGCTGCATGTCTTCTCTTGTCTCTCTCTAGCTGTCCTGTATGATACGATCAAAATAGATATGAAGATCATATGACAGTCAATGTAAAAGTAAAGAGTATTAAATACAACAAAATATAATTTGATGCCCATACAATAATGGGACGGACTTAGTAAGCGGCGCCATGTAAATGTTTCTATCAAGGGTGAGGGATGGGTAGAAAGTGAGAGACGATGACTGAGAGCTTGGTGTGGACATTCAAGGCCTTGTTACCAGTGGAGCGACATAACGTGCTGACCTGTTCCTGAGTCACCGTCTGAACAGCCAGGACAGAGGACTGGGTGTTTTTTGACAAGTTCTCCGCTCATCGTCCAAGCCAGACTCCAGAACATTTTGAAGCCCTGAGGTCTGGTAGACACCACAGAGAAAATGTGTGCAGGGCCGACATTTTACGACACACCACCAGGCACAATTCCCAAGATCCGCCTGCCTGACTGACTGTTGTGCGTCTGGACTCAGTTTTCTCTCTGGAATTTCCGTCTGTAGAGAGTTTCTCAACATATTATTCCAGCTGATTTATTCCAACTGATTGAAGTGTGAGGGCTGAGGGCGAGAATATTATGTTCTATTCCAACCGCTATGACTCATTTAAGCAGTGAACACCCCGCCTCCACTGCCGGTGCATCCCTTGTTTACATCCCAGCACTTCTCCAGATTGAAGTGATATCTGCCCGCGTTCAACTGAAAAGCCTTTTGTAGCTCGGCATCGACTGACAAGGACGCTGATCCTCTCTCGGATCAAAATCTGTCCATCTCCGCATGGCCTCCTTCCATTCAAGCCCTCAACGACACTTCCCAACTGTTTTTTTCTCCATTCACAGGCCGATCAGATGAGTTTTAGCATAGTCTCAGATTCAGCAACCAACCCCCTTCGCCTTCCAAATTCCTCTTCCCATTCCCCGCCCCCGGTTAACCCAGCGCCAAGCCCGCCAACTCGAGAGCTGCCTCTCCTTCTGCTGGGCCTTTGTGATAATAACAATAACTGTGTAGCAGTGCAGAGGGCTTTCTGTTGAGCCAGCGCCAGGCCGGCTGGCACAGGGAACCCTCTAAGCCTGTTCCACCATCTCCAACCAATTCCCCTCTGTCTCGGCTGGCGCTGGAGCATCACAGGCATTAAGGCTGCTATCAATGTGCTCAGCAGCAGGGGCCACCGCCACCACTCTCGCACTCGCTCTATCTTTTCTCTTTCCGCCTCTCTCCCTCTCCCACTCAATTCTGAATCCAATTCAAAAAAGGGTTTTATTGGCAGGACAAATAATACCTTGTTCTTCAAAATGTCTCCTTGCCTCCTCTTTTTTTTTCCTCGTGGTGCCGCTCAACCTCATTCTCCTTCTCCTGGAAGTGGAATCTCAGCAGACAAGGTGAAGGCCGGCGTGGGTGGTAATACTTTACGTGAAGTGCATTGTGATGCATTACAAGCAGATTAGAAGCACATTAGAGGTAAAGATCCACTTTAACTCTCAGTGATTGTGGATATAAAATGAGTTAGGCAAACTTAGAGTAAGGTCGGTTAGACTATTTTTAGAGTGTACATAAGTTTGTTTTAATTCTTACCACGCAAGTGTCTCCTGCTTTATTTTTTCATCTCTTTAATTAGATTTTTACACCATTATTTTCTTTTATTATATAGTTTTTTAGTCAGCAAAAATTAGCCAAGTTGGATCAGAAGTTTACCTGCTTTTCCTACAAACTTGGACTCAAAATGTATTATTTTTTTCTACCTTACCTTAAATGAATGGGAAATTTGAGGTTAAAACTGAGTGTGGCACAGTACTAAAACATCATGAGTGGCAACTGGGGTGACAGCGTCCTAGAAAATTGATAAGAGGAAGTAATAAAAAGTATGAGAAGTAAGGTATTACTGAAGTGAAAAATTACATTTGTGTATTTTAATGCCACAATTTTGAAATGAAGTCCACCGCAATAAAAAAATGAAACGCTACCTCAGGGCTTGACACTAACTTTTTTTCAGAAGTAGAACATGTGCTCCTAAGTTGAAAAAGTAAAGAGCACACAAAGAACTTTAGAGGCACTTTAATAATTGATCAAATAATGTGTGTCTTCTTGGTCGACTTAAGTACTATTATTTTAAATCAGTTTTAGGTCAACTGGTCACATGTAATGTGATTTATTTTAGAAAAGCTGACTCCCACTCCTACCGGTCATTTTTCTGGTAGATCTGGTCTTGGAAAATGTCAAAAATCCCACCAACTCCTGTCACATTATCTGTCTCTTTTTGTCTTCCTGACTTATCACTGTGAATACTTTAGTAACACACAAAACTCACATAGACACACAAAAGCACAAGTCAGAGAGAGAGATCGAGACGATTTCTGTAAACTTGACCGTGGATATTAGGTCTGGCATCTTAAAGCATGTGTGGAGAGACCTCACCAATTTCAGCAGAGTCTATCTTTATATAAGGCCTCACACTGATCCACACTCTCAGGAACTGGTGCATAAATTCACCTCATAAATATCTGTCTGTTACTTGAATGTTGAAAATATATTGAAGCATCAAACAGGTGGTAAATGTCTGACAAAATCAAAAAAATACATTTATAAAACTTTTACAAAATAGAGTAAAACAGACCAAATTTGTACAAGTTAAAGATCATTTTTAAGTTATTAAATTACATCTAAAGTCTTTTAGTCACACACTGAATCTGTGGCGGAGGCGTGCTCAGGCTAAAACATGGTGTTATGTTGCTCTTAAAAGATGAATCTCTGAAAATGTAATTGATCCTCATGTGCATTACAGCTTCTCCACTCTGTGCTCATGATATCACAGTCTTCATTACAACAGTCACACATCCACGACGTGCCTCCACCGTTTGTAAAGCCTTCAGGTAGAGTCGGTGAGCTCCCACCTGCCCGCCTGCCTGAGTGTGTGTGTGTGTGAGTGTGAGTGTGTGTGTGTGTGTGTGTGTGTGTGTGTGTACAGTACAGCCTGCAGACAGGCCGCAGCACAGCACATCCATTCCCACGCAGAGCCACTTGTGAAATGAACATTACAGTGTGTGTTTGTGTGAGTGCAGACCCCCGCATCACTACCACCACCACCACCACTGTGACCACCTACAGAACTGAACTCACTTCATATGACCAAACACAGCCTCCCACCTCAGATGCAATAACAAACATGGCCCTAACACTTGACCGCAATTACTGAACAACAGTCAGAGAAATACGAACGCAGTCATCACGATAACTCTGCTGCCACATGCTTTAACAGCACGCTGAGCCTATACGTGTTTGTGAATGTGCATTTGTGTCCTATCAAGTTCATGACCTCTCTGTTGATATACACTCACAAGAAAGAGTCCACAAAGCCAAATGTCCACTACAGGTCAGTCTTTAAATCATACTAAACATCTTTCACATCTTTTTGTTTGTTTTTGCAGAAACGAAGGGTCTGAAAATGTAATCGGTGATCTGTATGTCTTCATTCTCATCTTCAGCACATTAGGTTTGTGGTAATTTAATAGAATACATAATAATGAAGAATAGTATCACTGAGAAACAACAAATATGAAATTAAAAACACATTTCCAAGGCTCTGGATTAGCTCAGCAGTTACAGGAGAGACACCTATAGAGTAGATCTGTATGATTTACAGCTCAAAATAACTCCTTAGTAATTGTATACGGGCTGCTGGGAAAAAAAAACCTCAGTCACTGCCTGGTTTGGCCGCTTTTCCTGTGATTTAAAGTTGGACAAAGCTTGTGGGTGTTACTTTTCACACAGATTAGTAGTTATGAAACAACCCTGAGAGTTCTGCCTTTACAGGAACTGTATGCGGTTAGTTGTTAGCGCCCCCCACTTAGCGTCCTGTTTAGTCAAATTAGCGCACATTAGCTGTTGTTGTAATGTTACTTAAAGTTTGTGGTGATATAACTAACAATTTAAATGTAAATCCAGCTCCGACTGGCCTTTGTTTACAAAGTCGAGGGGTACAAACAGCTACATTGTTGTCCCCAAAACATAAAAATCTCTCACGGTGTTCTTGTCCGTTAATCTCTGGAAAGAAACAATAGCTGCTAATTTTCTTCACCACCAAAAAATCAGCAACTTTCTGAAAAATACTGGATCAAAAAAGAGTGAAGCCTAGAAAAAAAGTACTGAAACAGATTTTCATGAGAGAAAATTAAAGAGCTTTTGATGTCCCTAAAATTTCGAGAACCCCCGCTGTTATCCATTTACTAGTGTTATGGCGTTCGTGAACGATTCGTTCAAAATAACCAAATCTTCTAAGTGAACATACTGAACCGAATCACTTCCTCGAGTGATTCGTTCGTTTCTCACTTCAGTAGAGCTGAAGTTGGAAACAGCATTGCCAGGCCAGCAGCCGGCGAACGAGGGACCACATTCACCGATGCATGAATCACTTTTGTCAGACAAAACTACCTTTTTTTTTTTGTCACTGCTAAATTGCCACCACAACAACTTTCATACAGCACCCTATCATTGCAGCGGTTTGTGAGGGAACGGTGCATGTTCAGTCTAAACGTTTAGTGAACGAATCATTCACTGACCCCAGTTTACCAAGCAGACCTGATAAATAGCATACCATAGGACAGTACACTTTAAACACCATGACTTATAAACAAGTTCATTTTTACAAACCTGTTTGCCAAAGCAACACAGCCAAACATTCTTGTCTCCCTGTCCCAGAAGCTATGAACTGAACTGAATCCTGAACCTTTCAGCTGTGTATCAGTTCAGGAGGTCAGAGTCGCAGGGTTCTCCCGCTAAATGATTCAGTGATTTGGTGAACGACTCTTTTGAATGAATCTTTTTAGTGAACTTATTCTAGTGATTCAGTACATCTAAAAGAACTGCCATGCCCATCACTCCTATTTACTTCCCAGGCTAAGGATGGGGGTGTTTTTATAAGGGTGGTCTCATCCTTTTGCACTGTCCTGATTGGATGGCACAACCTGATGTCAGGATATGACCGTGTCTCAAAATGTGTAAGAGTTAGCCAGGGCTTACACCGCCATCTGTGTATCTCAAGTTGTGAAACTTTGCCACAGTTTAGTTCTGACACTCAGTACTGTTTACATGATATATTAAGTATGGACGGGTCCTCTTTAATGTGTGTGCCTGTAAACAAAAGCTACAGTCTTTCTCGCAGAGTCCTACATCAGCCCACTGTCACGTCTTCCCCCGCTCAGTCCCTCTTAAGTTGTCCTTCCTTTTCAATGCTTAAAAACACAAAATATAACACACAAAAAAGTAAATGTATAAAATATTTTTTTCTTTTTAATAAACGGTATCCCCTAGAAATCTATCAAGACCTTAAAAATGTGTAACCCAAACCAATGAGCCTTACTTGTCTTCAGCTGCTAAAAGACCAACTCAGCACACCACAGTCCAGATTCAGCCACTCACTTTCCATCCATCAATCAGAGCCGCAATTTCTGCTCAACTTCTCTCCTTGTCAGTTTGATTGTGGTATGTTTTACAGGAAACGTACAAACCTGTGTTATTGCAAAAAATCAACAAGTTGGCCCTCAATGTCCGATGTCCATCTAACTGTATGTTTCATATTTAGTACAGTCACTATGTCTGCTTTTGTTTTGCTTCCTTCTTGCAGTCAGTTTGCTTTCCAAGCCTCAAAGTTTCCCCAACATGGCTAGATATCTGACGTGTTTATTATGATTTCAAATTTATCGTCTTCCAAGCTGATTAGGGGTAATAAAATCTGTCTTAACATGGAATCAGGCACAAATCCTCCCATAAAAACAACAATGCTCCTGGTCTTTTTAGGGAGAAATGTGGCCAACAAGTGTAAAATGTAACATCTTTCAACAACATCTCAGGTTTTTGCTTTTGGTATGGAATTTATTGAATTGTACGCCACTTGAAAAGCTCAAGGAAGTCAAAAGAGATTTTTAAACACCAGGAGGAGCTGTGTGCTGATAATGTCAGAGTGCTGTTTTTGTTTGATGCCACTGTCCCTTAAGGATCTCCACATGAAATTCAAGAACATGTGTAACTCTGCAAATCGTGTCAACCTCATTAGGAATGCATTTTTCGATGCAGAAAGGGAACTGATAATACACTGTTGGTAACACAGAGGAGTACGAATGTGTGTGCATGTCCGTGACCACAATCAAAGCGATGCATACACAAAGCACGAGCTGTAAAATGTGTGAACGTGTGAAAGAAACCCACCGCTACAGCCTCAGCGCTTGACACTTAAACAAGTGAGTGACACCTAAAAGTGGTGTGAGTACAGTATGTGAGAATGTGTGTGTGTGTTTGTGCGTGTGCGTGTGTGTGTTACTTAGAGGCAGGGGAAGCTGCCGGCCCAGATGAAGACAAAGAGCCCAGCGGCTGAATTGAGCAGCAGCTCTCAGACAGGATTACACAACAGCTCTTAAAGACTGCTTTTAATAGCAAGACTTTGACTGGATCTTATTTCCACTCCCACTCATCCCATCCATCTACATACATCCCCCCTCTCTCACCCACAACAACCCCCGCTACCCTCATCCATAAGTACTGTTCAATCTAAGCAGAAACATACACGATTGTGTGTGTATACTGTACAAGAGTGTGTGTGAGTGTGTTTGTGAACCTCTGTGTTTCAAATCTCATTAAAATCGCAGCCAACTGTTACAGTCCAACATGTGTATCCGCGCATGTGTGTGTGTTACCTCCCCTCTCTTCTTATTTTTGTTATTCAGGAGCGTTTTTACGATTAAATCAAGTTGTTTTCAGTCTCGCCTCTCGGCCAATCGGCTCACTCGCCCGATCAGCCAATCAAAACCTCGACCCAAAGCTGGGGAACAGGAGCAGGTATCACGCCGGGCATCCCTGCTGCACACAAACAAGGCCCCCGCTTTAAATCCAATTTAACTCCCAATAACATTAAGATTGGACAGAGGTTGTCGCCACTGCGCCGATTGGGCTTAAATCAAACGTTGATTTTATTTAGATTAATCTGCTTTTTAATATTGCTCAATTGGAAGCTGATATGGAGCCAAATGAGATGTTGAAGTAGAGAAAGAAACCCTGTGTGTTTGTGTGTGTGAGAGAGAGTCACAAAAAGAAAAGGAGACAAAGGTACTTATCAGAAAAAGCTGTAAGGATATGATAACATGACAGAGGGAAGCAGATAGAGGATTTTGGATCAACTCAATGTCAAACACGCAGATGGTGTGAAATGCCTGTTAATCCCACTGCAACTTGTGTTTCCCCCTTTTTCTGTGTTCCTTCTATCGGCAGCCTGTGTCAGGGAAAGCAAAACACACACAGGAAAGCAAACCGTGACTCCTGAAGTATTTGAAGAATCTTACAGAGGAGCTTCATCGATTTTACACATGATGTTCAGCTTATTTGTCTTAACAAGTGCTACTCAGCTGGGGAAATAATTGTGTTATGTAGCTGTTCCCAACCTTTCTACTTGTACCTAAGAAAAACTGAGCCCCCGCAGGAACCTTACAGGAAAAAAATTACATTTAGTTTCTGTCCTAAGCTTTACATCTTGTCTTGTAGTGTCTTGAAATTTCTTCTTGATACACAACCAGATGAATTTGACACATCCAAACATGTTCGAGGAGAGCTTTTACGCAGTACAGTCACTTTAAGGTGTATCCGTTAAATATTCAATCATGTATTTATACATTCAAATGTGGTCCCTCTGAGATCTCTAGCGCCCCCTCAAGGGAAATAATGGTCTTACATCTTCTGGGCGCCAAACACATCAAATGCATCAGGTCAGTCTGTGGACCTACTCTCTGAAATATGACTATTGAGGTAGTTTTCTGCAGCAGTTTTGCATGAAAAATATGAACGAGTATTAAACAGAAAAACATTTATTTTTGAATACAGTTTAGTCAGGCTAACATTCATAAATTTAGAAGTTAATTTTTTAGAGCTAGCTGAAAACCACACTGTTTGGAGTTTTAGACATCCAGTTCAAATCCGGCGTGAAGTAAAGATTATGAAATGTCTGCAGTTTGGTTTTTCTAAAGTGGAGCTCTCAGCCTCGAGTCATCCGTACGTTTTAAATCATCAGTATTTCTTTTTATTGACTTTTAATGTGAATATATATTTTAAAGGTGACTACATAAATGTTTTACTTTGGTTATATTTGGTCTGTAAGTCTTCAATTTTGCATTACAAACAAGTTACCACACTGTTAAGGCCTCTTTTTAATGGCGAGAAGAGAATCTGTGATACATTTTCAACCCCCATTGTTTGGCACCAGTGTACCCATGACTGATATGTATTGCTGGGGGGTGGTGCAACAGTAAAGACATACTGGGTTTAGCCACAATCAATTGGTTAACTTGAGTTATAACGATCTAAATCCTGCTCTTACATGGTAAGATGGATCACAGACAACTTGAGCAAGACTTGACTTTTAGAGGAGGTATCTGTCAGCCTCTCAGCATTTTTACACGTTAAAATCCAAGAAAACTGAAGCTCATTTTAAACAGATATGACATAGAAAATGTAACAGAAGTTAAGATCTTTGTTCACAAGTTATTGGTCAAAATTAGTTTTTTTCCATTATTGTTAAATGTGCCCACTATGGTGACTTAGTCGAGCTAAATAAACTCCAAACATAAAAAGAAAGCTTGTTCAGAACTATTTGAGTTTAGAAGGACGTCAGTAATTTGCAATTTGTTTGTTTACATACTTAAAATATAAAATTAGAATAAAAGTTTCCTTTTTAGAGTACAAAATAAGCATAAAATCAAAATAACAAATTAGATTTTATGACTTTATTTAGCCTTCATCTTAACCTAGATTTTCACAGTAATGGAGTTCCTGCCCTCTGGATTCATTTCTGTTTCATTTTTCATTCTCCGCTGAAACAGACGTTTGTTCTCTTTGAACAGCAAAAAAGGAGAGGACAAAAACCGGAGATGATTTTACAGCTGAACCTGCGGTGTCATATTTTGGAGCTCTGGTCCACTGAACAATGTGGGATGAGAATCGCTGTAGAAGAGGAGTAAAGTTCAGTTTTGCAAAGTTTGACTCATTCTAAAAATGTTAACACCTTGGCTTCTTCTGCTTCATTTTCCCCATTAACTGGTCTTAAGGTTGTCGAAATCACAAGAGCAGATCTTTAAAGACATTTCAATCTTCGGAGTCGCCCTTATGCTAAGTGATTTATCTCTTATTAAAGCTCCTGAATGAAGCAACGCCAGGAGATGTTTACATCTACTATCAGGTTTAACAAGAAGGGAGTTACTGAAGCTACACTCTTGGCTCTGTTACAGCTCACAGAGTGAATCAAGGATTCTGGAAATTCACATCAACTGCAGTATTTGACCTAACAGCCCTTTGATATAACTCCCACAACATGTAGAAGATCGTTAAACACTAGTTGAGTCATTTTTCTTCTGCTTTTCGTAAAAAAAGATATGTTAGATCGGGGTAAAAAGCTGTTCTAACATGACTTAAATATTTATTTCAAGTCCACATGGCCTTGACTGATGAAATGTTTTCACAACTCAATACTTGAAGCCCATTTTTACTTGTGGAGGGAAAAAAATCAAAGCTTTGTCACACACAAAGAGCAGAGTGAGGGAAAGCTACAGTTCAGAGCTTGGAAACAAAAGACCACTAATCCTCACGCAGAATGGGTGGTATATTTAAGTAGATTACAGAAAGCAATCTATTAGATTAACCTCCTATTAATTTGAATTTAAGGGATAATCTGTAGTTACATCTGTTTGCCGTGACACCCCATGTCATCAGCTCTTGTTATTGTCCTTTTTAAACCCCTCGCCTTGTGCCATGCTTTCGCACAGCCTGTGCGTAATTTAACGTGCGCGCACTGGATAGCAGGGGGGAGGCGTGGAGGGGGCTCCAAACGGTTTACCCCGAGCACCCAACCGGAGGCATGGGTGACGCTCCAGTCAACAAGCTCTGAATCGGACCGGGTGCAAACTTTGTCCCCTTTGTGACCCGAGAACTCCGAGAACCGAAAGTTTGGATCCAGACACCTTCCCCTCGCGTCAAAGCGCTCAGTAGTCGCTTTCCCGAAACACACAGGGGGAGTTTGGCTCCGTGTGGCTTCTCCTATATGCACATGCTGCAATCTTTAAATAAGATGAACCCAGTGAACCCTTATCCAACCCTACCCAAGCAGCTCACCGCCCCTTTCCACACTGTAGTGAGGAGTGACACGGGGACACGCCACTGACATAAATTGTTGGACCGGGGGTCAATTATGTGGTTCAGAAATATGCAGAGGGGAGTTCTGCTGCAGACACAGACTGAGGCTAAATATAGTGAAGCTTTTCCACTAAAACCTTCACCATGTGGTATCAGAAAATTCTTTCATTTGGCCTACCTTCCATCCCGCTGAACTGTTGCTGTCGCCTTTATCCTTGAAATACGGAACAAAGCGAACCATCCAGTCATAAATCTGGGAGAGGGTAAGTCTCTTCTCCGGGGCGCTCTCGATGGCACGGGTAATAAGGTCTGCATAAGACAGGTTTCCCCACGCGTTCCGCCGGGAGGACTTGGCTTTGCGCAGCTGGCCGGCCACGTCGAGCGCAGCCCCGGACATGCAAGCAGGGGCGGCCACGACCGGGGCCGGGGCGCCGGCTGGATGCTTGATCTCCGTCGGTGCGCCGCCTTTTCTCTCGGCCCGGCACGCGGGCACGTTGTACTGCTCCAGCTTCACTGATGCCAGGGCCAGACCTCGGCTCGCCTCTTCTCCTCCGGGGAAATCCTCCGGACACGGCAGCGGCCAGGTGCACGACCGCGACCGACTGTGAGGCTCAAATTCCGAATCGATATCAACCTGATGCGCATCCATGCCGCTGTTCTTCATCATCATCAGCATGATGATTTCCCACTGAGCAGATGTCAAAACCGGGCAAGGTCACTGTAAGAAAAAAGCCTGACAATGTTGACGTGTGTCAGAGAGTTGAAATAAAACTGGTCCCTTCAGACAGAAAGAGAATAAATGTGTTTAGTTTCACACACTGAGATGATCAGCCTGTAAGAAAACGCCGGCAGCAGAGTGGGGTATTATCATTCTCCTCAGTGCAACAATGTGGCATCACATCAGGACAGATGAAGGTGTATCCGAGGCATCAACAACAGTATCAGTCTCTCTTCCATGTTAATGTGTGGCTGCATGAAGGACCGAGTGACGGTCAAACATCCATTATGAACGCCAGACACTCTTGGAGGATGTCTGTGTGTCGCTCCGGCTGCAGCAGCAACAGTTGATCCCAGTGACAGACGAGCCCCGGAGCAGGTTCACGGGAGGGCTGATCAAACTCCGAAATTAATTGACTTTTTAATTTCCTCCTCCTCCTCCTCTTCCACGCTGTCTCTGATTCCGCTTCTGCTCCACGACCGTCTCTTGTCTGCACATATGTTGGTGACCGGCTTGTGCTGAAACTCACAGTGAGCGCAGTTACTCCCTCAGAGATAGAAAGAGACTCTCATGAATCATTTATATGTAGTCGTGAATTTCGAGACGAGAGAGAGAGAGAGAGGGAAAAAAAAAAGAAGAAGCCCTCATGGATTTGATTTGGAGCATCCTCTGTGTCTCCTCTGCACGCCGCCTGACGCCTCTCGCGCTCAAGTCAATGTTTCTACCTTTGTCTCGAGCTCTCCGTTCACATGTCACATGGGTACCGACTCTGTGTCTGTGTACTACAAGCCCGTGTGTCTCTGACGGCTTCAAGCCACTTAACTGTAGACTGGAATAAAGTGGAATAAGTGCTGCTTCCATATAATTGGACGCCGCCTGCATCAAGTCACTCCCTCCAGAACAGGTTTCCAGAGTAGGAGGAGGAGGAGTGTGTGTGTTACTGTGTGTGTGTGTGTGTGTAGTGGGGGTTGTGTTCCCAACAATACAATTTCCAAAGGCAGACATTTATTTATATAAAAACAAATTCAATCACTGTCCTGTTGCTTATCATCATGTTTCTCTTCTCTTTTTTTCACGATGGCCAATCAACATGAGTTGTAATTCAATTATTGCTGATTAAAGATAAATGTTTATTTTTCTCCTCTTTGTTTTTGATTATTAATAGCCTCATTAGCAAAAGATTTTGACAAATCAGATAATATAAGCTACATTTAGAGAAACGTGTCACTATGTGTTCGGTTGTTTTAAAGTTTGACCCCCCAGACTGGAATTCTGGGAAATCCCAAAGGCAAGAAACTGATTTTTTCTTTGTAAATCCTTGTTAAAGGTGGGGTAGGCAGGAATCTCCCACTGGGCAATAGACGACTATTAGACGTCTAGTTGTTTTTTAGACCTAATTTCAGCCGTCTAGATTCTGTATATTTTTAGACGGAATTTAGACGTTGCACTTTAACCCATTTTTCGATAACTATTTATCTCAAAAAGCAACTGTGAGTTGCATAACTGATCTCCAAGTACTTAACGAAAATAACAATGATAGTCATTGAGCAAAATACAGTGTAGTAGACTTGGTCCAAACTTGGACTAAATTTAGGCGTCTATAAAACTTTCATTTTTAGACCTGTGGTAGGCTGATTTTAGACCAGTCGTCACGGCTACATTTAGACATCTATTAGAGCTCTTTTAGACCAAAAAATGCCCAGAGGGCTGTTAAAGAAGCATCTTTTTTCTGGAGTTTATACAAAAAAGCTTTTAATATCAGTCAGTAGCTATTAGTTATTGATGACATTTGGTAATATAACGAGATCGCTGTGTTTCTTCTTGTCTGTGTAGTCAACATTTTTCTCCCTCTTATTGTGAGGCACGGTCCACGCTCTTGAGTAATGTTCACGAGCCGAAAGAAAGTTAGCATGCTACAACATCAGACAGTGGAAACCAACCAGAAAGTACGGAGAGATGTCTGAATCCTCCTGTGGCCACAACTGCCGACACAAGCAAGCAAATACCGGAGACTCTGGCGGAATAACGGGTGTTTAAAACAGAGGTAGACCAGACAAGAGCTAAAAAGCCTAAAGTGTCTGTAACAGAAGTGTTTCTTGTCAAACGGGACCTGCTGCGTGTTGTAGCACCGTTAAACTGTTTACCTCGGGTCCTGGACTATGTCACTTTATCCTAGTTGTAGAAGTCCTGCAAACATTGTGTTTGCTGGTAGTCTGTTGGCATCTACAGTAGCACCAATGCTTTTTACTTTCACGTTGACTGGGCCCCATTTGTAATTATCTGAAGTATTTATCTGAATTTAATTGGAACGATACAAGCGAGCAGGAGCGTCTGTTTGTGGGCGGGGCTTGCTGGAGGAGAGGGGAGGAGCTGAGGGGGAAACTAGTTGAGAGGGGTAGAGTTTACATTCAAGATTTCTCCCAAAAAACTGGCACTTCCTCAGATCCTGCCGACCCCACCTTTAAGGTAACACTTTAGGTTAACCTTATACTGTCTTATATTGCTCTGTTCATATTCAAATTGGGTTTGAATCACAGTTGTGGCCAAAATTTTTAGCCCCCTATGAATTTTTTTTTTTTCCATAATTTCCCAAATGCTGTTCATCAGATTAATGATTTTTTTACACAGCTTTTCTAAAAATCCTAGTTTTATTTTGGATCCTTAAACAAAATTATTTCACAAAACCCAAAAACTACCAGGGTCAATTTCATTGGGGGGCTAATAATTTTGGCCACAACTGTATTTACAAATCAACAGAATCTGCTTTATCAATACTTTACTGTGTCCCAACCGTTTGAGTCACTGATACTTAACCTTTAGTTCAAGCTGAGGTCATAAGCCGTCCGAGGATTCTGGATAGCATGTATAAATAGCTGGATAAAGTGTCCTGTATAAAGAGCTCCTATCAGAGATTACTAAATCGTCTGTTAAAGTTCAACCACTAAATTTAGATGTAGAGCAGTAACATAATTACAAGCAGGCTTAATCTGAACATTTATAGTTACCCTTGAAATAAACAGAGATAATAGCGCACAAATATCACAGCTTACTCTTTTCAAAAAGTAAAAGGTTCATCATTTTTTATCAAGACCAAAATTAAAACGAACCATCAATAAATTATGAATGATAAGCTCCAAATGTTCAGTCAAACATTTGCTACAAACATGTGAGGTCAGGTGGGAGAGGAGGCGATAAAGTGGAAAGTTTGATAAAACAAAGCAAATGAAACGTAGAAAACCTGGTTCAGTGTTAAAAAGAAGAGTCGCTCTTAAAGTGTTCACTGAAGGCATTAAAAGCAAAGGAAAGCTCTATATTCAAATGTTAACTTTACAGGGTTTTCATCACTATTCAGTCAGCTAAATAGCAAGGATTTTAATTTTAGCAAAGCTCTTAATTTTAGCCTAAACAATTACCGGTCATGTACTGATCATAAGAGGTTGTGCAGTAGTACAATCCAAATGCCTCAGTACACTACAGCAGACCTAACTCCTAGATTAATCCTAGATTAAGGATTTCAACCTTTACCTTACAGCTTTTAGGAGCAGACTTAGTCATTAAATCCACTCTAACTGATGCTCATTGAACTACCAAACTCATAACATGTCTCAAAGAAAGTGCAATTTATAACAATATGATTGGACAGTGCAATACATGACAAGTGGACTGCCCAGTATGTTACACTATTTAATATCAGGCAAGTTTGTGCAAAACATGGCTAACATATGGGTGGTACAGTCCAACATTTGTCATTAGTGTTTGTGCAAACTACATGTGTGTGTATGTATGCATATTTTCTCATAGATTCAATTACCTCTTTTGCTCTGTTTTCTTCCACATTTGTGCACCTGCAGATTGATGAAAAAACATTTCTTGCAGGGTTAATAATGTATATTTAATCTTTTTTGTTACAGGAAACTGAAAACAACTCATGATGAGCTGATGTTGCAGCAGTAATATCTAAAGAGTCTCAGTTAGCGTCATTGCTGAGCTGCAGGAAGGTAATCGGTTGCGTCAAAGAATCTTGGCTTGAAACTTTAAAGTGGGAGAAATGTGTACTGTATGTTTTTTAAAACAGATATTAATTCTAGGATGATTCTGCCAAACCTCGATCTACATTCTTAGATTGTTTAAGTTAACAGCTGAAATGAGGCCCTCTGTCTGTGGCCTCATAATGTTTAATGGTGACAATATCATTAATATTAAAGCTATTAAAGCTATCATTGTTGATCAGGATTTGATTAGGATTTACGTAATCTTGTAATTTTGTCCATTCAGCTCACAGTTGAGTCCCAACAGCATTTTCCTGTTCCTCACTTTGACCATGATGTAAAATAATGACACCACCCCACTGAGCTTTTTTTGGTCTGAAAGAGGTCTAATAGACGTCTAAATGTAGCCTAAACGACTGGTCTAAAATCAGGCTACCACAGGTCTAAAAATGAAAGTTTTATAGATCATCATCTACTTCTAAGTCATGGTTTCAGACCACACTGGTGCAACTTGGAGGCTCCCGACCTATCAGTCAGCTCTGGTTCTTTTTCACTGGTAGGTAGGTCTTTCTAAATGATTCCCCGAGTTGTCAGCCACCAAAACAATAATAGTCCTTTACTTAAATGTTGCCTGTATGAAATATTGTTCTACAATATCAGAGCAGGAAGAAGCTTCAGCTAGAAGGTCTGTTGAATCTGCTATTGAGGCCATTTAAATGAAATAGATGATAACTGTAATTAGAAAAAGTACGATCAGCTGCACTCGCGTTCCCTTCCTCTGTCTGTTAACAATTCTGTAACTATGCACTAGCTTAGATGTTGGCTTTATCTGATTGGTTGTAGGTCTAAACAATCACTTCCAGAGGCACTTTTGCATGCAACCACTGCTGCTGCTCTCCAGGAAAACTAAACTATACTGAATGACTCCAGACCTTTTCACCAGGCTGAATCAGTCAGGCGTTGCCAGGTTAGCAGCAGTCAGTTCAGCACTAAATAACACAATGAACCTAAAAGTCCGGATTGTAATGCATATTTTACTGCATTCATCTGATTATGCATTTTAAAGAGTTGCTTTACGTTGATGAATTTGACATAAAACCCTTTTAAATGCAAAATTATGGAATTTCAAACATGCAGTAAGAAACGCAACTTGCTGCGATTTGATGTAGAAATGTATCAATTAAAAGTGTGAATTGTTTGGCAGCTGTAATCAACATGTTTATTCTATATGGTAAATATTTGATGATAACACAAAAATGACAGGCTTTAAATATTTTTGCTTCTTTTATCTTTTTTTAAACGAACCTTTAAAGTGAGTAAAAGCTTAATTGACATAATTCTCAAGGACATATAAATAGGAAAAAACAATATTGTCATGTGGAAGGTTTGATTGTGTTTCAACATACAGATTTAGTTCCACTGTTTCTGTTATTATTTGTCAAATTTAGACGTTATAACATGATGTGAAGGTTTTTATTTACTGTTGTTGATTATTTACCTCAAATAAGCTTTAACTGGATATATAGAGTCTAAAAAGAAAATAACTTTGATTCAGGGTTAATCATATCTGACCTCTCCGGACTTAAAAACCAGCTGTGCAGCTTTCATATCAAAACAAATACTTTATGATAGTATATAATGTGGGTTTATTCTCCCTGTTGGGGTCAGGGAATTAAACTCCCATCTCCCCTCGCTGTCTTTGTCACACATCGTTGCCTTTAGAGGCTCTGAGTCCATAAAGCGCGCTCCATCAATAGCTGCTCTGTGTGCTGTAAGCTCATCTGGAAACCCCCAACACTGACAGAGGCTGCCACTCTCTGACAGCCAGTTGTCACTGACA